CGATGGCGGCGTATGTTGCCTCAATTTGGGCTTGTGTCGCTTGCGGAGGATAGAGTGCCGGTTGTTGTGGTACGACTTGGGCTAATGGCGTTTGTATGGCCGTTCGGATTGTTGAGTATCCGCGGCCCGCCTTCCCTTCGTACTCCGGCTTTCCCATTGTGTATTGCCGGACATAGTCCCGGAATTCTGCCGGTGACTTCGGTATCCGGATGTCTAAAGCGCGGCGCAGTTCCGTCTCTTTCACATTCTCTCGCAAGAAGTGAAGAGTCATCGTGTCGTCTAGGCCGGCGCGCGTCTGGAGAGTCAGCAGGGCATCGTAATACTGCTCTGGGGTTTCAGATCCGTGCTGGTAATACCGGTGTGTGATTTCCCCCATGGCAGTGGCCTGCTGGTTGTCATCTCCATATCGAGTGGCAAATTTTTGGAGCCACTCTTCCACTGTCCAGCCGTCCTCGTCTTCACGATTGGCTTGGCCAGTGTACCATTCCTTTACAGCGTCCAATAGGGCCATGTAAATTCGGCTCATAAAGTCCGGATCTGGTTGGTTCAGATCAGACGACTGCTTGCAGATCCGTCGGACCTGAGCGAGCCATCCTTTCACCATGGTTTTGTTACCATCAAATTTTGGCAACGCGGTGCGGACTTGAGCTCTTGCGGTAGCTTTTCCCATCTCTTTGGCCATTTCCTTAATTTGCTCTCTTGTTGAGAGAGAAGGACTGACCGGTGGCGACGGGGCAGGTGTCGGGTGTTGCTGTGGCATCTGTGGCACCTGCTGGGGTTGAGCCAACATTGGCTGTCCCGGTGTGATCTGGATGGCCCCGTTAGAGGACATCCATCCATATGCTCCATTCGGGAGCTGGACCAACATGGGCGCATTCTGGCCCTGGCCTGGTTGGGCTGCTGGTCCTGGTGGCATGACCGCTGTTGGCGGTATGCCTGGTGGTTGGGGCACGTTTTGGCCCATGGGCGTGGTTTGGCCCATTTGTGGCTGAGCTTGGCCCGTTTGGGCTGCCGCCGAGATAGGAGGGCCAAATAGGCTTAGTTGGCCTACTAGTGGTTGTGACACCGTTGGTGTACCACTTTGGCCTCCCATCTGTCCTTGTGTGGCCGATGGTCCCGAACATTGGGCTCGGCAGGCTGGTCCGGTTCGGATCCATGCCGCTGGTCTGAGCCTGGCTTGTGGCCGGATGTGGACTAAAAGTTGAAGTCCATGTTCGGGAATATTGATGGATACAAGGACGGATACTGTGGCCTTGACCCAAAATAGCTGTGGCTGGGTATCGTCTGGCTTGGGTCAAAGCCTGGCCCGCTTGACGCCGACGGATGAGTCTGCGTTGCAGGCGTCACTATGGTCGTTGGACCGATAGTGGCTGATGTGGTGACCGGGACTGGTGGTGGCGGCAGTGTTACTGTCGCCGTTGATGTTCCGCGGTCCACCGGGCTGGGAGGCGCAGGTATGGTTGGCCCCGTTGGGGGACGTCCAACCGATGGTCCTTCCACAGCCATGTTAACGTTATAGTTCTGCTGGTGATACACTGGCTCGCGGTAGAAGCGTTGGCCCTGCCGCAAAAGCCTCGTCGACTTTTCTTGTCGGCGTTGTGTATCGAGTCCGGAAAAGGTGTGATAGGACGGTGGTTCCGCGGACATCTCGGAATGTAAGTTCTCAAGATGTGATTTTTCCGCATCTAAGCAGGCGTTTTCCGTGCTTAGCCTTTCCAGGTCCTCGTTCAGCTCGGTTATGCGTTGGTGGCCGCCTGGTAGTCTTTGACCAGGCCGGCGTTATTAGCCTCTGTATGATCCGGTCATGTTGGCCCTGGATCACCTGTTTGGCTTGGTTGAAGGCCTGCTCCAATTGGACAAAGTTTTGATGTCCAATGGCGCTGTTTTGCTCAAGTTGTGCCCGAATGGTCGCTTCGGTATTGAGCTGGCTCTGGAGGGCAACAATCTGTTGCTGGAGTTGCACGTTTTGTGCTTCCTTCTGCTGAACCGTTTGGCTCATCAGTCCTCCCTGTTGAATAGTCTTCATGAGATTCTGGTGGCTCTCATAAAGAAGATTGTAGCCGTTCCGCAGGCGGTTAATTTCGTCCTGCAGGTTGGCCAAGTCGTCAGTTAGACGCTCATTTTCATTCGAGAGGCGGTCCGCCTCTGAATCGGTTTCGTCAATGGTGTCCGGGCCGCATTCAAGTCATCCTTGGCTTTGGCCAGCTCATTCCTCGTAGAGGCGAGCAGGGCTTCAAGTCCCGCCACAGCCATTTCTAGGCTGTGGATTTTCCTGCCGAGCTGGTCTCGCTCAGCGTTGGGACATGGTGACAACTTGAGCTGAGTTAGCTCAAGTTGGGTCTGGGCCAGTATGGCCGAGACACGCTTGGCCTCTGCGTCCGATTTGGACGCAAGGTCTTTGTGCTTAGAGACTTCGTCCTGCATCCAACGTTCAGATGCTAGGGCGGCTATATGTCCGCCAGCTGTTTGGTCAGGTCCGTACAGTGGTCCGAAGTTGGTCGACTTCGTCGACTCTCAGGCCAGGTTGCCTGGATCAGCTTTGGCGGGCTGACGCTGGCGCTGTGTGTGTCCCAGGTGGGCTGATTAAGGTCCATCCTGGCTGTGGCCCTGTTCAGTTGTGCCAGGTCCACAATTGGCTCTCGGTCCGGTTTGGACGGGCCAGACGCGCCGATGACGTCATTGGTCGGCGATGGCGTTGTTTGTGTAGAGCCATCGATGTCAAACATGATGGGCGACTGACTCATGGGCTGTTGGCCCTGGTCGTCTGCCTTTGGACCAGCCTTTTTGGCTTGGCCCTTGGCCTTGCGTCCACCTTTGGCCACCGTTGGTGCCTTAGGTTGGACCTGGTCCGAACCCGGTAGGGTTGGACGTGCTGTCAGATCCTGGACATCAAGGTTGGACAGGCCAAGTTGTTTGGCCTGGTCGGTATGGCGTGTCTTGTCCTCACCTGTGGCCGCCGTTGGCGCCTCAGGTTGGACTTAGCCCGGGCCAGGTATGGCCGGTTGTTGTGCCAAGTCCGAGGACACTGTTGGCTTGGGCCGTCCTATCGGCGCCAGGTTGGCCGTCCTGAGGCTGGTTGGCCTCGGAAACCATCGGATGCCTCCTGGAATGTGTCGTCCCGGGTGGCGTCAAACGTCCTTGTCTCAAGTCGACTGGCAGGATTGTTTGCCGCCTGGCTTTGGCCTCGACCGAACTCTGGCCGGCCGAGTTTGGCTCGTCTGGGTCAGAGCTGTTTGGCTTGGTGCTGCGGAACCGGTAAGGTCCTGGCTCTCGTGTAGCGTAGCTCGCAGTGCTTCTTATATTCGTTGGGTTGGCGCCGTCCATAGGACTGAGCAATCTCCGTTGGAGTTGCTCATGGCTGGTGTATGGCATCACCTTGGCCAAGGCGCTTTCGATTTGGCCCATGGTATTGGGACTTAGAAAATTTCTTTGGTCTTGGTCCGGACCGGAACGTTGGGTTTGGTCGCGTGGTCGGGGCTGGTCAGGTACGCTAGAGCTCAGGTTTAGCGTTAGCTTCCTATGGCCCTATGTTACTTACTGACCAGTGTGACGTCAGTTACGAAATGGTCTTGCAGTAAGCTCTACGTCACGAGTAGCGTGCCGTGAGCAAAATTCAAAAAAATCGAATGAGTCACTACGACGTTATAACACGGGGAAGTTTCCCACGTGTTCTGATTGGTCGAAATTTTATGGAAAATCACCACGCTGACGTCACGCGACTTTTTCGCGAAAATTCCGGCTGGACAAAATGGCGGTTGTTTTTCGCCGATAATTCGTAAAAAATTAGGAAAAATTTTCTCGAGAGTTCTGTTTAGTTTTTTTAGGACAGAATTTCACGAGGAATCCGAAAAAGCTATTTTAGAGCAAATCGGATAAGCGGTTAAAAAGTTATGAAGGGTTTTTTGATCGGGTTCTACGCGGAAACCTCGAAATTTTCGAAAGTTCTACGAAAACCTAAGCGTCACAGTCTGGTCTTACCGAGTTTTTCTCGTCCAAACTGCTGCTCCGTCGATCCCCTTCACCCTTGTCAACCGTAAGGGCCGCTAGCGCACCCGATAGGGCGTAATGGAGTTACAGGACCGTACCGAACGCAGTTTTTGCGCCGGGAGCCAAAGCTGCGGGAGGTCTACTTATAGACCTGACCCGTATCAACGCGACCCGGTAGGGCGCTTATTTGGTCAGCTGGAACGTACCCAACGCAGTTTTTGCGCGGGGAGCCAAAGCTGCGGGAGGTCCACTTATGAACCTGACCCGTATGAGTATTCCGTCGCGCTGCGGATCTCCAGTGAGATCCGTATGATGCAGGAGATGATGGTCGCGGGTTGGCTGGCCTACTTATAGGCGATCAGCGTAGTTCGACCGATATGATGCCTTCACTGGGAGATCAGAGGATTCCGGGAAGGAAAACCGAACGATACTGCTACCATGTCAGATGTGACACGGAAGCAGAGCGAAAAATGGGGGCAAAATATGCCTTTATTGTGATAACAATAAAGCAACCACAAAACAACACAGAAATGCCAATGCGGCGTATGCTGTGGAAAAGTAGCTGCGAGCGCGCAAGTCGGTAAAAGTGTACTGATGCAGCGTGCTGCAGGTATGCAACAGCTGATGCCGTAAAGCATGGAATCGCTCGTAGGCGCTGGGCTCCGCCCCCAAGAGTGCGGAAATGCGCTGATTGGTCAGCGTAGACAAAGTATACGCTGAGTGAGCAGCGTAATAGCGCGGCACGAATGGAGTAGCCGTGCGCGGGCGGGCGACAGAGCAAAGCCACAAGAGGTGTCTACCGCCTCGAGTGTGCGGTCTCTGACATTAAAATACTAACAATAGTAGTACAATGTATTGTAGTATAATTATAATTATATACAATGTATAATAATAGTACGATGTAGTACAGTGTACTCAATAGTTGAATTACTTACTCTAATAGCAGTGTGCCCTTTCAATCGTAGCAGAAATCATGTTGCAACACTGGTTCGTCAATTAGGGTGGGGCCATACCTTTGTGAAATGTCCTTAAAATAATCGTGGTCAGAAATATCGACTCCCATCGGACCATAGTTTAGGGAGATCATCCAGGGAAATATACTCGTTCAATATGGAAGTTACCGATGCTTTTACAAAACTATGGCACACTTTGCCACTTATAACGAGCCATGCATGTGATTCAAAATTGTGGCTCCTTAGCTAGATGCCCAGTGTTCTACAAATTTGTAGTAGTTGTTGTTTGTAATACCACCGCATATCTGTCGAAAGTATGCTTTTAATAATAACGTTAAACAATTCTCGATCGTTTCAAGAATGTTAATAGTTAATACTAGTACTTAATATCCAACCACAATACCACAACACTGATCCAAAAAAACATCTTGTCGTCGTGCTCCTTAAGTATTCGCAGAAATACAGCTTAATCTGTGAAAAAGAAATTCGTAAAGGAAAATATCTCTAAGCATTTAAGCCATAGTAACACAATATGAACCATAATAATTACATATTACAATTAATCTGATTACTGTAGGCAGTGCACAGTACGTTTTCAGATGGCTGCTTTAAAAGACTAATCGGAGCCTAAGAATCATAGGGCAAAACATGAATTGAATTATACCGGTCATTTGCATTTGACACAATGACTCAGTGTACGTAATTGAGCCGACTGATCCATTGCATCCAACTGCCTTATTCCTTTCTCATCTTTTCGCAAACCTTTTTGCACTTCCCAATGGGTCGGCTTGAACCAGCCTGCTACCAGTTTTCAAGCCATCCAAGTACGAGTAACCTAACAGCCAAACATCCCGCGCCTAGTCCAAAACGCAACCACACCGTCGGAACCGGCGTTATACCACCATCTGCTACAATACCAAGAAAAAGTTGTACAAAGTAATCGGATGTGGATTTGCAGCTTTATTTCTCGACTCTAAAAGACACTGAGATGGGTAGACTACTCTAAAAGACACTGACAACTTCCTAATTTCAGTTGAAAGAGCCAGTCTTCGTTCCATATAAAAAATATGGAAAACCAACATTACACAAAGCTTTAAATTTTTTAAAAATTCTTTGGAAAAAATGGGTGGAGTTGGACGATGTGCCGGAAACCCAAAACTCAAATTTGCCATTTTTTAATTCAAAATCGCCGTTATTCGACGAAGTGTTTTCATGGGCATAACTTTACTATTTCGGGTAGGGGAAACGTTTCTGATTTTTTTCCTTTCAAAAAACTGTGACCTTTACTGCACGTGTTCAGGCTAGAAGCGGTAAGCATAAAGCCCCGCACATATGATTCTTGTGCAATCAGCTAGCCGGAGCTTTAGTATTAAATTTCTTTCCGACGCTTCTGAAACTCATAAAGCTTAAACGTATTTCCATAAGAGCAATCATTTAGCTACATTTATCATCCAAATCGGCTTATCTGGTTGCAGCCTGTTTTGCAGCAAAAAACTTTCCTTAAAATAAGCGGAAAAATCTGACAAAAACGTGCAGTTTTTCGAAAAGCCACAAAATGCGGGAACTGCATAGCTCGTTCAGAGCATGCACCATGCCAAAAGCTTTTTTTCTTTGAAAAGCAGAAGATTTTGGCTAAGTAACTCAGCTGAAAAATCAGAAATATTGCTTGCTGGAAAAAAGTATCACCAGATTCACAGGTCTGCGAGCTGGGACAAAATAAATTTCCACACGTTTTTAATTAAAAACGTTATTAATGAGCATGTTTTAATATTTAGATTTAGATTTTATTGTTTCGAGTAGCTAATTACATTTCTATCGAACGACTCTAACTACTTCAGGGTAGGACAAATGGTCCGCGAGAAACCGGCCAAAATAGGAGACCGACATTTTGTTCGGCCACCCGGTACAGGCCCTTCTAACATCTCAGGGCTTAACTGCTTATTCCCACCCGAAACCACTCTTGTCATAGTCAAAACCCTGTAGTCGGATAAAATGTTCGCCGGACGCTGGTCAACGTGAGGAAAATATTGTCTAGCAGTTGGTTCGTCCAACGATGGGACACTTCACCTCTACATGCTGCACGTCGGTTGTCTTTAACGAGGCATGAACTGCATCAGTATTGCACAGGAAGTAGCATGCTACGCGGTAATCGATTAGACTTCTGCCAACAAGACCGGCAATCATAAGTGCAATACTGACCGGACTGGTTGGCCGATGCAAATGGGCAAGCTATACTTTGCTGGGTGCTGCTCTGCGTACTCGATGATTCATCTAAAATGAGGTGGTAATTCATTAGGTGATAATCAATACCAGTACACATAAAAAAGTTCTGTAATGTGAAGAAATCGGTATAACTTTTTGGAAAGGCATTGCAGAGATCCGTTTCACAGCGGCACCGTATAGCGCTGGTAGCTTCCCGGTCTTTAAATGGTTCACAGGGTTTCTCCTGTCTGTCAGCTTCTCTCTCCACTTTGGACCCACAGTACTGAGCATCATACCGAAAATTACTACCTAAAAAGTAGAAAATGACCACTCGGAATTGTCAGTGTTAAAACAGAATATAACGTAAGTTAGTTCTCGAGCGCTGGAAGTGTGAGCTTCAGCTGAAATATATCTGATGTTCCTGAATGTCAAGAAAAAATTGCACAATTACAGAGCAAAACTTGGTCAGGAAGGTCGTCTACCAAGTTTGTCTGCGTTTTCATGCGGCGATCTTGTACTAAGCATATTCCCAGAATCGAAAAACCAAGTCGAATTTTAGCCGGACAGTTTGTTTAGTACTACAATTCGAACAGAACTCTCTGGCAGAGGGGCATGCGATACCCAGTCACCAATCAAAGCGCCTGGGTGTACTTTGGATGCCGACCAAAGTATCCGCCTGGATCTACATACCAGCGCATCACAGCCAGCATAGTCATCCCATATGGAAACATTTTAAAATTCATGCACACTGCAAGTAGCGCACACGTTGCTGCATGGAACGGTGCACGTATGCATTTTCAATTGAGCTAATTGGTCACTCTCTGCTTTATCGTATTTTTTGTAACATGAACTTCAGTTTTTCTCGTGTTTTGCCAGATTTAAACCACTCGCAGGATATTCATTTTAGCAATATTGCCCGCTCAACGAGTGCCATACCAGTTAGTCCAAAAAAGGCAAATGATTTGCCACATAGTGCGATAAGGGATATTAAACAGAGTGTGGAAGTGGACAAAACTACCGGTTCCTAGGCTATCATTCCAGAAAGCTTTGTCCGAACCAGCAGAACAAACAAACGAATCGTACCACGTTGTAATTCAATATCGCAACTTACTGCCTGTGTAAAAGAGCGTTCCGTTTCGACAATGGGTTATGCCTGGTTCGCACTCAACAATTTTGCTGTTGAGACAATTCGTTTTCTTATCATTCCAAGCTTCAGCATAAGGAATGTCTGTTCCGCTCACGTAATGGCATTCGTAGCACTTAATAGCCCGTCCTACATGAGGCACATCACTTAAAGCGCTTTGCAAAACATGACTGAGAGAAAACTGGATTGCAAGAAGCTAAATTCTATTAATTACAAGTATAATTTGAGTTAAGTATTTACGATTGTATTGAAGGGCTAATTTTTCGTAAAAATCTCTGATCGGCTTAAAGTTCGTCGAACACCAGTGCTCACCAATAATAACAGAAAAAATTAGGCGGTTTTGCACACTTTGATGTGCCTACCTCCTCGAAATGCTATCGAAATCAGAATTATAGTGGCTAATAAAACTTGTTTCCAGTTCCACATTTCTAAACAGTTAGTGCGTTTGTCCTAGCAGAAGTCCATGGAATACCACAAACGATTCCTTGCAATATCACGTTTATCAGTAAATTTCACCAACAGTTCATGTATTAGTGGCTCTAAAATATTACTGGATGAGAAAGAGCCAAACACGTCGACGTAGTTCCATCACCACATCGCATGTATTTAATTAAAAGCTCATGACTTCTAGAACAAACGTAACTAAATGCAAATCCACCCTAGTGACAAGATAATCCTTGTGTAGAGTATAATCCGTGTTGATAATCTTTGTGTAGTTATTACAGTATGTCGAGTAATACAGGTTCATCCGGAAACAAGAGCAAAAGCACAAACAGGGAAATTTGTACGAGGCGCACGTGTATGTATTGTACAGTACGTATATGCACATGTAGCCGAGATGTACATGACGAGTGCCTGCGTATGTTCTCTGTATACACTTTTTTCTTGTTTCCGGACGGGCTGTAGTTACCTAACGATTTACGAGCTAATGATATTTTACTGCTTTGCTACAAAGCTGACAAAATATTCCACAACGTTAAAGTCAACCTTTTCGTCCTTTGTGCCCTTCACTCTTCAGACTTTGCATACTTTAACATGGACCCTGTACACCTGATAGTCTTCGTTGTTTTCGCAGTACCTATTGCATCGTTACGCGGTACGCACGCCTTTCTGGTTTCTAAAAGAATTTCTGACGTCGCAGCAGATTTTTTGATATTAAGCACTCAACATGGTGTTAGGAGTGTTTCTGATTTCTGTAGCAGACGAAACGGATAACGCATGCGCCATTCGTCTGACATAACTGTGCACGCTGGCGAGACATATAGTAAAGCAGAGTTTGATGAAGGCCCTCAATGATAAGAAACATAAGTATTATCTAAGCTTCCAACTGAAAGCGAGTACGAACTGCACTTCAGCAATAACTCGCTAAATTTACTTAGACGCCCTCGATCTCTTGGGCGTGAAGGACAATAATGTCATTAACACTTCGTTGACTAGCGTGGTTGCTCACACCAGAGTTGGCCTAATTAATTAGTAAATAATTGCAAAAAAATAATTGTACAGCAATTTTTGGGCTGTGAGAGCAAAAAAGCGTCTAGTTTTCGCTGATGCTGTTTTTGGCGCACTCTGTGCAGTCGGAAGTTCCAGGATAGAGATGGTGGAAGTCACCATCCCTTTGGGACATGTACGTCCAAATGTGTGAATTCAGCAACTGTCCACCGTTCAACTGCGTGAATGTATGATGTCGAGAAAATCAGGCCATGTACTGGATACTATTCTATCGATATTCTCTTTGTGATGAATTTCTGTTCTCCAATATTTCCATCTTAAGAAAACTTTTTCTCAGTTACGGTCGCATCGGTTGGTCAAACAACATTCTGTAGTGTCGGTCAAATAACAAATTGTGACGAATGCGCATTACGAATGGGTAAAAGCAGCAGTTACTATTAAAAAATTTCTCGACGTTGCAGAGGTCCAGGTTGTTGTTGTTGTTGTATTATTATACATTATACACCGTAGTTCTTCTAAGGATCATTGATACAATAAGATAGTTTAATAATATGATCAAAGTAACAAATTAAACACAGAAATGATAATAGTAGAGCTTAGTCACGGATTATTCCAAGTTAAAATCCGGTAATGAAGGAACTCGTACTGCTCTTTGGCTCGCCGTTGAGAGCGACATCAATAATGCAGTACTCTGTACACCATCAATTTTTATTGAGGGTACCTCTACGAGAAATTAATCGAACCATGGAAACGCTCGTTGCAGGTCATTTGCGGCAATCTTTTGTCAGTCAGAGTTTTTGACCTTAACTGCAGTGCGGATATCCTTATTCAAGGCACAGAATCAGGTGTTCGGTCATACTAAGCGATTACTTTCCGCTCTGCCGGTTCCTGATCCACAAAAGCAGTGAACCTGCCTACTTATTTCCCGACAGCTGCTGATCTTTATAACCGCTTGCTTTTGCTATGGCTTGGATAACCGAATTTTTGTGGAACCAACGGTTCATGTTGTGTATCTTGATAATCCAAGGTTAGTAACTCACAATACTCTGAAATTGAGAGAATATCGACAATAACAACTTTCCAGCGTTTTTGATTAGTTTTACGCACCGAGCGGACAGAAGAACAGCATCATAAATTAAGAACGTTTTTAATTTGGTCGATGCTGCGTGCACGGGGAAGCACGGGTGTTGGCTGTGTGCACGGGTGCTTGCACGGGTGCTGTCTGCATGCACGGAGTTCGGACACGGGCTTTGGCTGTGTGCACGGGTGACCTTTTTGGATCCGCACGGGTGTCAGCTGTGTGCACGGCTGTTTCACTTCATTTTACGACTCAGAGGTTTTCTACGCGGCTTGATGCAAGTGGAAATGGTGTCGGTTGCATGATTCATAAGCGGCTACCAAGTCACAAGTGTGTCCGCATTTCGCATCAGATCCTGCTCAAAAGTGGCCGTTCCAGGATCCATCCCGAAAAGAAACGCAGTAGCATTGGCAGTATTACAGAAATTCTTACGTGGCTATATTACACAGGAATGGCACAGGAATGGCATTACCTTAATACAAAAATCTTCATGGAAAAAAACACTCCAGAGATTCTCACGTCTTAATTCGACTCTACTTACGGTGACTTTCAAGTACTTCATGGTACTGCACTAACAAGTAAGTATAGATATTAACAGGCAACGTAGTAGTACTACCCTCAAGCCGCTTTACTTGTACATAGTAGCAAATTTCGCAGTACTTGCGGTAGGTATTTTCGTTGAGAAATTGTGGGTTAAGTGAGCAGGTTTTCATAAGTAGTAATTATGTAAAAAATTTATAACTAACATATACAATTAAATTTAAATTAAACAATTTAAATAATTTTCCGTGCACGCAGCCAACGCCCGTGTAGGAATCCCGTGCCCGCAGCCAACACCCGTTCCCAAACTCCGTGCACGCAGCCAACACCCGTGCGGAACCAAAAATATCACCCGTGCACGCAGCCAAAACCCGTATTTACCCGCGCACGCAGCCATAATGTTTTAATTTAGCGTGCGTCGGCAAAATTTATGCGAAAAAAAGTTGAGTCGGCCTATTTTACCTTTGCCGCCTTTGCCTTTGCCGTTCCACTTTGCCTTTTTCAACTTTACCTTTCTTTGCCTTAACTGCCCTGAAAACCTTTAACGTTTTAAAGGTTTTCAGGTTAAAACCTTTACCGTTTTAATTTACCGTCCAAAAATATCGTTCGAAAAGCCTTTGCCGTTGGTAAACCGCTGACAGAAAATTACCGACGACACTGCCGATTATAGAGTGTAGAGTTCCTGAGTTCTGACTCTTGCATTACATTTGCTCATATACAGTAATGATGGTCACTTTTATGCGCCCGGAAATTTTCCGAGGCCATAGCCAATTAACTATGCCCCCGGAAAATTTTTGTACTGAAATAATTATATTGTATGTGCATATGGGAAATTTTTCGCAACTTTATTATTACAGTCCTTTGCCACACGAAACCAAAATTACTGACACCGTATGCCGTATCCCATTTTCTTCTTCACGCCGAGGTAAAAAAAAATTTGTGCAATAATTTGCACAGCCTGTACATCAGTAATAATAATTTAGTGATACAATACCAGCGGTAATCGATTGCCGCTGACAGTTTTGTGATTACTTAGAGATTTTTTAGCATAGATTTGTAATGCTCCACAAATATCGATGTACCTACATGTTATTTTTTTTACCTAAACGTAAAGTAGAAAATGGGATACGGCAAAGCGGCTACGGTAATTTATTTTTGACAGTTATTCATCGGCAAAGACTTTTCGAACGGTATTTTAAACGGTAAATTAAAACGATAAAGGTTTTCAAGGCGGCAAAGGTAAAGGCAAAGGCAAACTGGAAAAAGGCAAAGTGAAACGGAAAAGGCAAAGGGGCGGCAAAGGTAAAGTAGGCCGACCAAACAAGTTTTACCCCAGTCAAAGTTATTGCTGCGAACAGCAACATGGATTTACTGAGAACTTTGCAGTGGTCACAATGTTTCTTCTGTCAAATTGAGTTTGCTCTGCTAGGCGCCATCCACTGCCTGAAGAAGGTGGAGGTGGACAAAAACGGCAAAGCCGAATGTTACGTTTGTTCAGGTAATGTTCACTGACAAAAAGGATCCATGTCTAAGTTAGCAACTTGCAGGCTTAAAAAGTAAAGAACTACATTCTACATGTCACCTAATAAAGTTATGTATTCTATAAGGTCTTACGGTTGTCAGTAAGTATGGCCTGAAATATGAACTTCACATGGTTATTTCACGTTTTCTTGTGAATAACATGTGAGCTTTAGAGGAGGACGATAGTTGCGCCGACTGGACGGGCGACCAAAACGGAGACACTTGCGACGAATCCACAGAGCAGGCCTGCTTCACTCAGGCTGTCGGCTTTCGTGTAGCTGGAGAAAGCCATGGTAATTGCACTTTAGTCGTATTACCGCACCTAACCAGCACTACTTCGATATGTTCTTCATTTCGAGCGATTGCACTATGCGGCCCCACATACGTGTAGACTTTCGCATGTAGGCACGTAAGTGCAGATACTAGTAGAGCAACACGCAAATGTGTGTGAAGAGTGTAAGATAATTATGTTAATACACACATGACACAGTGCAATCGTTCGAAAAGATAGCCATATCGAAATACATATGGAAGTGTCGTGAATTTATCTGATTGAATTTTTGTGGTTAGCATTCAGAGGTCACCGAAGTATTTTATCTGTTTTACAGTGCGTTGGAGGGTCAGGAGGGGCTGTGATAAGCTTCCTAAAAATGTTGCCAGTAATAACTACTCCTATGACACTGATGCTGTCATGTCCAAAACAGCATTCCAAACAAATAAGCGGCTGGATTATATTAAAGTAATCCAGATAGTTTGCGTGTTAGATCTCTGTAATGACCGCAGGTTTAAAGATACGACAGCTCCGGATAATTTATAGAATTATTAATTACAGTTGTATATTTTGTAGTACATTTTCTGAGAAATTACGATTATGTTACTTATAAATGCGGTCACAGTTTCCGCTGGATGGTACACTGTATGTACAAGCTTGTTCCATAATTTGTAACCCGTGAATTTGTATTTGTCGCTGTGCTGATGCGGTAGACATATAAGGACGATAATGTACAGTATATACTGCAGTAAGTCCAGTATAAACTATAAAGTCAACCACTTTAGCCAAGCTCGTATCTTCACGGGCTTATATCAAGATCATGTCATCCAAGATTATATCTTCACGGGCTTTTTAACATTAATGGGATCGCAAATTATTTCTAATTAACGGAACAACATGCATAATAAAGTAACCCCGCGGGCTAAATTTGAATTAAAATTTGATTAATTTTGAATTAAAATTAATGCTGTACTTGCCATGATTCTGCAGGAAACAACTCAGGAAACGGTGCACGTTATACCTGATAACTTGTCCGCGGCAAGCCAAAACAAATTCGCGAAAAAACACAACTGTTTCGTAAAAATATTCTTAAATCAGGTAATAAAGAAATTAGCAGAAAGTAAGAGCAAGCAATGGCACATATTTGTTGCGGTTGCGTCTGCGTCCGATTTAATGACTTCCAGTACGGTCTTGTTGTTACAGAGAGGGGTGTTGCAAATACAGTAAACATGTTGACATGGGCCAGGTGGGTTGCAATCGTCTTTTCGGTAACATCCTAGTGGCTTGTCGTATAAAAATCTGAAATGATTATCAAAGTCATTGAACACAAATATCACCTGGAAAGAGACAAAAAACCTATAGGAATCAGATACGCCGCACAATTAAAGGATCGGTTTGGAAATGGGTTTGTCATTTGGGTGAAAAGGCATAACCAGAACTAGGAATTTAGGTGCTCTGCTTGGGCCTGGTGCCTGACAGCCGAATTTTTCTACGGAATCAGAAACTTGGGAAGTAATCGCAGCAGCGAGTTCTAATCAAACTATTTGCAACAAGAACAAAGCAATTGTCTTCGAACAAATGTCCTTAAAAGTTAAAACCAATTGTCTTACCGCTAAATGCATTACGACGAAATCGGACGAACAGTCCGCATGGACTGTTTATGAGTAATGAGTCTAGGACTAAATTGTTCATCAATCAAATGTCCCGCGGCGACCTGTCGCTTAACCGCCTGGAATATGTAACGGCAACGTATACTTAATAAAACAGAGCGAAATACGGACACGGCTCTCAGTGTCACTTTCTACTGAGTTGTTAGGTGATTAAGCCGCCTCCCCTTTTCAGCGATGAGACCCGATACTTTCGGCCTAAATTGAATACATGAACAAAAACTTCTCCACTTGAATTTCGCACAAAAATGCGCATACGCACAAAGATCGTTTTGACATTTTTTTCCTGTTTCGAAATGAGTTTCTCGTTTTTTCCATTTTCACACCAATGTAATTATATATATACATATGCAAAATCACTTGGCTATATAAGCAACAAAACGACGCAAGAAAGTGTTCAAAGTGCGCAAAAGTGAAACTATTCGTGAATGTACATTTTTGGAAACAAGTGACGGCCAATGGTATTATTTTGACTTTTGTTTTGACTTAGTTCGTACATACGACTGTACGTACAGAGGCATATCACTGAAGGAATCGTCCTGGCATGATCTTAATAGCCGTTTCTCTAAAAAAAATTTGGATTAGTTCAAATCGTTGCCATGCTTATTACGCATGCTATTGGCACTATGTATACAGTTTCACCGAAAGAATACGGATTTGCTGCTAAGTGCCGTCATTTTCCAGACAAAGGCAAGCAAAGGTTTCCAAGCAAAGGTTTTTGGACATGCTTTATTATTTATTACTATCGAACGAACAGTAGCTTACCGAAAGTAACTGAGTTAGTAAACGTTTGCAATTAATCATGATTTCTACTTTTGCGGTCCCGACTATCCATCTACGCTGGTAGTAAATCAATTGTGCGCCTAACATTTGGTCGCGAATAAAACCAGCTCGCGCGAATATGTTCGAATAAAATTAGCTCTGAACACTCTGGGCAATAACTATTAACAGTTATTGCCCAGAGTGCTCAGAGAAATAAAATTAAACCTACGGAGAGCAATATTGCTCTCCGTAGGTTTCACTCCATGACGTACCCTACCTCTGCCTGTGCCCTATTTTCTGCAATGCTTAGTGCGATACGTTAGCACATCGGTGCAATTATTTATTTCTATGAATGACTTCTGTTTTTTCTTTTATTTTTCTGGCTTTGGCAACCACTGCCAGAATTTCGAGCGAGAGGAAAGATCGAGCGAGAAGAAACTAGCGCCAGAGAAATGTCTCTTTCCTTATTTTGTCATTGACCAATAAAGTACTACCGCCGGAAAAATTAATATATTATGTAATACTTGTACAACAAATGAAAAGACGCAGATAGTGCCTGAGTGTAGCGAATGATGATGTACGAGAGCGCTCACTTATCTGTTGTGTGTAGATATCGTTGTAGGAGAATTACACGCAGACACGGTGCGCCAGAACCTCCCTTATAGGCCTGTCTTTTCACAGTGCGCAAAAAAAATTGTAAGCGCGGTGCGCAGATAAATAAGTTCGAAAATTAATTATACATACACCAAACCAAAGTTATCACAGTTTCTTAAAATTTTAAAATGATTATCAACGGCTTCACTACATTGCCAAATCTGAAGACTATTGTAAAATGCACTGTATTTGTTCGAAAACTGATTAGCAGGAAATTAAACGGATTCCTGATTGTTAACCGTACATAACAGAAAGCTGGAGCTGGGATATGCGCTGTGTTCACGAATCACCAATCACAAATATGTAGATGGGTCACGTCAGCCACGCGCTGCAGTTGTTCTTCCGGTCTACTGGTTAGCGGACATATCTGTGTTGGTTGGCGACAAGCCGACAACAGTGTCGGTTTTTTAACTTTATTTCATTCCATGCCAGCCTCCATTTAAGGCATGCTGGCCAGTTTGGATTGCTATCCGTTAATTTCTTTGAGTTGTTAACATCATACATACGGGACCGTGGCTCGTCTGCAAATCCTGTCACAACTTCGGCGCAGTTACCCGGACAGTCCAGAATCCTGATTTCCGAAAGGGTTTTCTCAATTGGCGTGTCGGTTTTCGTTGATTTATTTAGGCAGTCAATGGGACCACCTCGAGGATTGTGATCGTAATTATTGCACCCGTAGCACTGCAGAGAGGAAACTAAAAAGAATGTGAAATTCAGTTCCATCATAAGGGTACTTGACATATTTGTAGTTCAAAAGCAGCTAACCAATCCCGCTACGGATTGCACGAATCTAACAATGCGATGCTGTGACCCATCTACATTTATTGCTTCTGATCTACGACAAACCTCTGCTGTGGTTAACCAACAGTACAAGTCCCACGAGGGCAAGAAAATTCGCGAAAAGACTAGATATAATGCTTTCCATAATGCACAAGGTACTTGCAACAGCATAAACTGGCTCAATAAAATAATGTAAATGAATTTTCAGCATCCAGAGCAATACCAAAAAAACAAAACTTATGCCACGATGCTAGGGTAAAAAATTCACGGAGAGATGGTTTAGTACTTTGAAGGGATAACAAATGCCAGTGTTAACATCATGATTATCTAAACAGTAAAAACTGGCTACGCAAAAAAGGACGCATTCAATAGCGTACACAATCGGGACTTATCGCGCGTCAAGCAAAACCCAATACTTTAACTTACTGTGTTGCAGCTATATGGGTACGAGCGTTAACACATTTAGAAGTCTTAAACGCAACGCCACAATCGGTGTAATTGACGCAGTTTCCGAACGCCTTGAAGTTGCTATGGTATCCGCAATCTCAGGCGCAAAATCTTCAGTGCCGAGGTGGTTTCTGGCATTGGTGTAAGAAGGACTGAGGCCTGAGAGCAGTGATGTTTTGCATTCTCTCCATATTCTGTCATTAGTCGTATCAACTCGTATGATTTTTTTCTTTAGTTCATGCTTTCAGCGCCGATTAAACGTAACAATATAATACGTATTAACCCGTGAAAGTTAATTGTCCTTGCAGCGGAGGCTTCCTTGCAATATGGCTACGACGATTCAGAGAGGGCTTTGCGGGAGCGGATCCGGGGGAATCTTACTGCGCCTAAACAACCAGAAATATATTATATAACTTAATATTTCAAAAAATAATCGGAAACATTTGGTTTTTGCAACAATAAATTCGGCATAATAATCCTGGACAAATCAGCTGTGCGCCGCGCTGTACATCATGTTCTTATGATTCCCAAATTCTTAAGACTTTTATTCTATTCGCTTTCTTTGGTGTCCACCTTATTGCTGTTATTACAGGGCGGAAACGTATCGTTCCCTGTCGTTTCATGGGTACGGTGTCTAGCGCCATCGTTGCTTCTTACCAGTTACTACGCTTGGTTTTTAAATTTGTTGTTGCGCATTGCGCAAAAACCATTTAGGGCAAACACCGTAATTATCGATTTTGAAGTCCTGTGTCATAAATATGTATTTGTAGTGCCTCCCATGGGGTTCTGTTTTTCGAACTGATTTTCTTGCCAAAACATCATCGCTACGAGCTGATGATTGACCCCTGAGTCTCACTGAAGCAAAGGTCAATTGTTGGAAATCACTTGTAAGAGGGAAAAAACTCTGTTGCACTTTGAATCAGCAAAAAAATGGGTGACTGAAAACTGAGATCACCGCCGCCGTAATCCTGGTCCCGATGATTAATATTGCACGAGCAAATTCGGGTTCAGTTTATTCGATCTATCAATGGCAAAAATTTGAGTCTGGCTGCCGTTAGATGGAACGCCGATGCTGTCCAGTGTTAAAATTTCGGTCGAAAACTAGGAGTGACGATAATGACTTCGGTTGCTTCTTCCGCGTTTAAATCTGAAATATTTTTATGGTGCCTATCAGGCTTGATGTCACTTTAATTAATTAGCTACTGCCTGAATAAAATTTAATGGTATCTAATGCACTTTATAGCAGCAAAAGTGGATGAACAGAAGCAGAAATCGTGGCGGTCCATAACAAGAGGCCGAAAACATGCACGACTAGAAGTTAGTACCTACCAGAGCTGGTCCGTTATGAATTTTTCGCCTCCGTTACGATACCGATCCGATAATTAAACTCTCCGATACGATTCCGATACCGCTACGATTTTTGCTCAAAATCTCCGATACGATAAATCCGACAATCCGATTTAAAAACGAAAATTTTTACGTGAAAATTTTCCGCTACGCTATAGATTTTGCCGCTCTGCCCGATAAGCAATTTTTCCGATCCGCTACGATACCATATAAAACTTTTCCGATACCGGTTTTTCCGATGAAAACATCGGAATTATCGGAGTTATCGAACATAGCGGCGCATTACAGTCTGCCGGTTGCACTAAGGTAAGCTCAGTGATTACGCTAATCGACCTTAGCGACTCATCGCTTGATCTGCGCAACGCGACGTTGTCCTGTAATTTGTTCCAATAACTGCAATATATTTTATTGATTCAGAAAACGAGAAAAATATTTTCTGTTTTTGCTGGTGGCAAAACATTGCAGTTTTCACTCACTTATCGGCTGCGTCGGGCCTGTTACGCTACAGTACCATATATCACCATTGTTCTAATCATCTGCAAATTAATGCGACTAAAAGAGACGTCTTTTGCCGTTAGCTGTCTCGTATCCGCATCGTATTTGGCATACTTTGTTGGATTCAAAGCGGTAAAGCGTTTCACGTAAGCCTGAATGTCTTGTGTTGGAACATTCCCAGGATCTTTCAGACTATATTTGAATCCATCGTCGTATGCACGGCCATTTGTTCTCCGGAGCTGTTCCGGAAGATAGCAATACTGATTTCGAGGAAATGCGATGACACCTAATCGAATTTGGTTGCCTTCGGACTGGATTTGCATCGGAGCTCCCTGGACATCCGAGCCAGCAAAACTTGCTACAATTGCCGACTGGTAGCAGGCGTCGGGCGCTTTCTTGAACATCTTCACTATATCGACGATCCTCACGGAGGGTCGGTCGTTGTCGTCTGGCCAGTACAGTGGATTTAGGGACGGATCTCTATCCGGCTTTGTGATGTTTCTTTCCGCAGAAAGAATCGCCATAAACAGATCAAATAGCCGCGGTTGCTGGCTGGCGCTAGCGATCTTTATCTGATCTAAGATCTGCCGAAACCACTCGGCGAGCTTATCTTCAGAAATATAAATCTCCTTCACTGTTCGAAATTTATTATCAATATCGCTATAGATTTCCGTGCTGCGCACATGCCGGTTACCAAACCGGATCATCTCATTTTGGCCGTAATCAACCAAGAGGCCAACTAATAGGACAATGCACGTCTTTACACCGTATGATTGCATGCTGGCCACTCTGGATAACGCAACATGTATCAGTTTTCGTAATGGTAGAACAGTCGGAGTAAGGAATTTTTATAAAATAATACGCACATTTGGTTGCGGCATCGGTATATGCAGTGAAAGGATTGTATTAAATAGTACTGTCTGTAAAAGGTCACAGATGTTGCGTACATGGCAACACACTATTTACACACAGAGGCACCTTAACTGTTTGACAGACCTATTATGTACGTAGTTACGTACTAAAACGTACTCATCTTGTAGTTGAAGCCAGGAAGATGCGCGCTGAACTGGCAGCGACCTGGGTTCGTGTTTACAGTAGCTTAATGACTGAGAGAACCCAGTTGTAATAATTTTAGCAAATTCTCGTGAACATGGCACAACGATTTCTTGCCTTTATCACTCTTCTGACAAGACGATACCTATTTGTAATTTCGTTGGTGTTTTTACTTGTTGTAATCGTGATTCTCACATATTTAATGCTCTTCAGCAGAAATGTCGAATCTGGTAAGATAAGCAACTGTTACACATTGGTTTACTTATGCATTTCATTGACGCAAACATCCCGACTGTAAATTTCAGTAAAAGGTCGCTCCGTTATTCTTTCTTATCTTCGCTAATCAATTTTTTCTAATTTCTGCGCCCGCCTGGTTGATATTTCATTTACTGTATATCCTTGCAGAAAATGAGTGCGAATGCGCGGCGACCCATCAGCGGACCACGGGCAACCAGCAATCTGCCAAAAGAGCTGACAGTAAGTCAAAGCTGCCACTCTCTTGGGACTCCGAGTATTGAACTACGATAACTGAAACGCTTGCTTCGTAGATGTTAGTCAAAACCAACTATCTGAGACCCTGCCCGTCGAAACCCCACCTGCTATACCATGGAGCAAATACGAAATCTCCCGTACAGCGTCCTTCTCATTTCCTTACAAGGACTTCCGCGTCCTCGTGTACGAACGAGGCCCAGTAGCCGTTGGGACCACCAAACCATCCGTGTATTATTTTTCCCCGGCGCTGATCCTGAACACATCCAGCGCGAATACCTCGTTTAATTGGTTTGAGCAGCGTTTTGTTGTGACCTTTTCCCTGATCATGTACAACAAGGATTACACGGACCACATCAAGGCGAAGATCTTACAGATCATGAATGTCCAAGTTAAGGATCAAAACCTGCATGTGATGCCCATCGAGGAAATGCGCCTGATTAGCTCTAACCCGGAATGGGACTCAGAGATCGAAGTGGACACGACCTGGCGATCGTACAGCAGCCAATCCGACAGCAGTGAATTTCGCATCTTCTGCAACAACGGGTTTAAGTGTCAGCGTTTAAAAGAAGGCATCGAGAAAAAAGGCAGTGAGTTTATCGGCGATATAGAAGTCCACTACGCGCTAGAATCACAGCGGAGTGCGGCGCGCCGTCTGACACTGACGGCCGAGCACATCCAAACCGGGAAGATGTTTACGGAGCTTGAGCAGCGTTATGCCGGGTACGACGAAGTGTATTTGAACGGTGAAGATTCCAAACGCATGCAGCAAGAAATCGCCAGCAATGTCATGGCAGCGGAAATTGCCGATAGTGAATACGTGAGCGGTGAGCAGTCACCGACGTTACTCAAGTTTATCGAACAGGCGCTCAGTCTGCAGGAAGTCAGTTCGGCGAAATTCACTCCGGAAATGTGGAAATCGGTGTACTGGAAGGACGAGAACTCCCGTCCGGATAAGATCACCCGGGAATACCAAAACTCTTTTGACAAGCAGGACCGCGAAACGCAGAGCCGGATTATGGATTACTTTAAGAAAGCGGAGAAGGAGAGCTGGTGCGCGAAGACGGGTGGTGGTGTCAGCGAAGTGGCTTCCGGAAACCTGAAGGTGTGCTCCGACACGAGCAGCTCATCGGCTCAGCGGAACGAGATGGAGAATTATTTGCGAAATATCAATGAAGGACGGAAAGCGACGGAAATGCAGGGCGAGAAATTTGTGCCGAAAGAAATGTCTTTGAAACGGACGAACATTGCCAAGCTGAAACAGACCAGCAGTTTGGGTACAGTTTCGGTGAGCAACTAGAAAAGAATTCAAGCGAATTTCGCTTACAAAAGCGGTCATATGCGGCGATAGGAAAAACTTTTCCGAAACGTATGGGGTACATTACGTGCATAACACATCTTATTTTAAAAGTGAATGTTATTACATTTATTATCATTCCTGTTTTTTTTATTTAGATCAAAATTTCGAAAATTATCGGTGTTATGAAGACCAACGTGAACTTCCTGGAAACCGTGGCTAATAGTTCCCAAGCAAACACCATATCGACAGCGCCACCCGCCGCAGAAGGAGCATCTGCTGGCCGGAAACCATTATCCGATATCCGAGAAGTATTTCACGTCCGCGTCGCCAGCTCCGCCATAACGTACAGGAAAGAAGAAGCAGCTAGTATTTGCCAGTCAGTTTTCAATTCGACGTTAGCGAGTTTAGCGAATATGCGCGATGCATGGCTGGACGGCGCTGACTGGTGCGAAGTGGGCCACATACTGGAAGAAAGGACCTTAGCGTATCCCGCACGCGATTGTTTGCGACCAGCGACGAGCAGCTATCGCGGGGATATTTGCTACAAAGATGTCGGGCAGATTAATAGTTATGTCGCCGCCGAATTTGGCCTAGATTATAATATGCAGCTGTCCGGGTTTAATTGCTTCGGTATTAAACCGCTGAGCGGAGGTGCGAGAATTTACGGTGGCTATGAATTACTAGTCCTGCCGTTCAACCAGAACAGAATAGGACAATATCAGCACACAATTAAATGAAAGCGAAGTACCAGATTTTTTAGAAGGTTTAACCAATGCCGTACGGCTTACTCTATAGCGAGTCAAAGTTAACCATTTAACCGGTGAAACGTGGCGTTTCAAGGCTCACCATGGGCACGCAATTTAAGCCTCATTTAAAATGCCGGGGTTGTGGCATTTAATTCGGACAGTAGATCATAGCCCACGGGGAGGAGAGATCTTGTGTCTAGCATTACAAATTACCGTAGTTATAAATGACGTCCACGATCTGCATCATTTAGTGTAATGTACTAACATTTACGAGGTAAATGTGCTGTCGTGTTTGAAGTTTACTACTGTACTTAATTTCGACAATTTAAGGTGTGTTACCGCTACTGAGTGTGTGCGCCAGGGCGCCGCAATCAGACTGCAGTTTGTCAAAACCAACCAGCCTCCAAGAAGTCGCTGAGTCGAAGCCAGTGGCTAGCTGCCACCTCTGGGATAGTGGTGGTAGCTTGGGCATTTACTAACCTACGTTGCCAGTATTTAATTAAGTACTTAAACACCCCGATAGCTAAAAGGTCACTGAAATAAATTACAAAGACCGAAAAGTTTTTAAGAAATAGTTATATTCTTTAAAATTGTTTTTATCTGGTTGGCAAGCTTAACTGCGCAAAGCTGTAAATTTCTTTTATTTTTACTTTTTCAAATGCTTCTGTAGCTGGTTCAGCTGTCTTTTTTAAGCATGTTACATTTAAAAAAGCTTGAATCTATTAAAACCTTGAAGTTTTAAAATCTATTTCATACTGTAACCCTTTAAATTTTTGTAATCTAGTTTATTGTTCCATATCTCAAACACAACTGGTCGCGCGCTAGCGCGACCGATACTTGTAAGTAGTACTTACGAAAATGCGAACGATAACATCATACTAACACAATAATGCGTATAAGGACTTGCTATTAAAAAAAGGATTCTGTCGATACTGTGTAATCGCGGACTTATCGCACGTCAAACAAAATCGTCTTTTCCAATGCTTTGCTAACAAACGAGCTTACGTTTTGTCATTTACTTATTTATTCATTTGTATGACATTTTATTGGATTAATGAATGTTCTCTTCCAACCTCCTCGTGCAATATGGAAGACATAATATCTTGTATCTTTAGGAATTTTGTTCTCCCTATGGGACTTGTATGCTTTACCGATCACAGAAAAGGTTTGCCGTAGTTCAGAAGTACGAGTGCAAATGTAGATAGGTCACAACATTGCTGTGTTAGTTTCGTGCATTCCGTAGTGGGTTTAGTCAACTCCTTATGCATAATAATGTTCAGTATGGTATAATGGAACTGAGTTTCACATTTTCTTTCTAGTTTCAGATTAGATCATTGGCTGCTGCCAATTCAGCCAATGATCTGTATGGTAGAACTGAATTAAATTTTCATTGTTTTTCAGTTTCTTCTCTTCAGGGCTATGGGTGCAATAATTACGATCACAATCCTCGCGACGCAGGTTGGGCCATTCCGTGTTCAAATAAATCAACTGCTGCGGATACGCCGATTGAGAAGACCCTTTCGGAAATCAGGGTTCTGGATTGTCCGGGTAACTGCGCCGAAGTTGTGACAGGATTTACTGACGAGCCACGGTCCCGTATGTATGGTGTTAAGGGATTTGACCCGGTACATAGTACCAAATTCGGGCACATACACGGGAACTTTCGCTGTCGTGCACTCCTAAACACGTTTTTGCATTACTTTATGACATTTTGTTGCCAAAGGATTCGTATACATAGGCGAAAAAACCGTTTTTGCGCGCAACGTCCGGTTCGGGAGTTATAAGTGAAATAAAATTCCAAAAGTTTAATCGCGCGGAGGTGTACCAAAAGTTTCATTATGAACCGATGCTCTTGAAATTTTGCACGAAAACGCACATTACTATGAAGATCGTTTTGGTACTGAACCAGCTTTCTACCATTTTTTTCAAATTTTAAATTAATTTTTAAAATTTTTGAAATTCATTTTAAAATTTGAAAAAAATGGTAGAAAGCTGGTTCGGTACCAAAACGATCTTCATAGTAATGTGCATTTTCGTGCAAAATTTGAGGAGCATCGGTTTATAATGAGACTTTTTGGTACACCTCCGCGCGTTTAAACTTTTGGAATTCTATTTTCACTAATAACTCCCGAACCGGATGTTGCGCGCACAAACGGTTTTTTCGCCTATGTATACGAATCCTTTGGCTACAAAATATCATAAAGCAATGCCAAAAAGTGTTTGGGAGTGCACGACAGCGAAAGTTGCCGTGGATGTATACAAATTCGGTGCTATGTACCGGGCCAAATCCCTTAACAACTTAAGGAAATTAACGGATAGCAATCCAAACTGGCCCGTATATGCCTAAATGCGGGGGCTTGCATGAAATAAATTAAAGTTAAAAAAACGCTGTTGTTTGCTTTTTAACGAAGTTTTATTTTTAAAATAACAGGAAATAACTGTGATGTTATCCACAAAAATAAGGTACTGCACCAATATGCTGACACAGCGCACTAAACAGTGCAGAAATTAGGTTGCGGGCACAGATAAGGTGCGTTACAAAGTAATAGCTACGAGGGCGAAAAATAGTGCACAAAGTGATTTTATATCTCATTTTATCTGACAAATCTGATTTTATCTGATTTTATCTGGCAAATCTGATTTGATATGACACATTTGATTTTATATCTGATTATCTGGACCGCAAAATTAAAAATCGTGCCTACTTGCTAAACGTTTGCTAACTTGGCTTTTTTTTCGTAAGCATGTCCAAAAACGATAGGCCTTTGCTTGAAAAATGGCAGGTGACAGCGAACCCATGTTCTTTCATTGAACGAGGCATTCAGTGGTTCTTTCAGTCCATTGTCAAGGCTTGCGTTACTGATATGGTGCTGATTTAAATTTTGAACTAATCCAATTTTTTTTAGAGAAGCGGATATTAAGGTCCTGCCAGGACGATACCTTCAGTGATATGCCTCTGTATGTATCAGCAAAGTCAAAACTGAAAGCCAAATAAATAGGCAAAAGTTAATATCAGTGACCGCCACTGACCGGTGTTTCCACATGATTGTTACCAACGTTCGTGCACATTCACGAAAACTGCAGTTTTGCGTACTCCCGATTCCCGAACACTTTCGTCGTTTTATTGCATCTAAAACGGCACAGCCAAAAGGTTTTGCACATAAACAATGGTGTGAAAACTGGAGAAACGGGCAGCTCGTTATAATACAGGAAAAAGTGCCAAAATTTTAGCTCAGTGATACAAACGACTAATTCACGTGCGACAGGCACTTAAACTGTATTTCGTCTGTGTTAACATGCTTTTATTTTCAATGACTTCGTAATGTTTTTCAGATTTTTACACGACAAGCCGCTGGGATGTTATCGAAAGGACGACTGCAACCCTCCTGGTCCATGTCAGCATGTTTATTGTATCTGCAACAGCCCTCTCTGTAACAACAAGACCGTACTGGAGGTCATTAAATCGGACGCAGACGCATCCGCAATAAATATCTGCCTTTTCTCGCTCTTACTTTTTCCTAGTGTCTTTAATAATTAATTTAAGAATATTTGTACAAAAGATTTGTGTTTTTTTGGGAATTTTTATTGGCAGGCCGCGGCAAAGTTATCTGCTATCACGTACAACGTTAGAAAATTTCAATGGTGTAGAAGGTATTGTTTTATGTCGAAAGAAAGGAATTTTATGTCGAAAGGACGCGTTTGCGCTCTCGATTAATAACGTGCTCGTCGCGGAGGGTGGTCTGGTGTCGAAATTCCTACGTCTCACACACTGGTATTGAATTCGCCGGACGAAAACAAGAGTATCGAATGGTGAAAAAACATCGCTTTTAGACACAGCAAACGGGAAATAGAATATAGAATATAGAGGTCTAATAGAGGTCTATAGAGGTCTAATATATACATAGGTCTTGAATTGAGAGGACCTTCGCTACGCCCCGGTCGATTAAGACTGACATACTAGAAAAATGCACGTTGGCGTGCATTTTTTCTAGTATGCCGGAGCGCAGCAGCTTTTCGTTTTTGCGCGTTAATTAAGTTTTAACGTGCTACCAGTAGCGCTCGTAACAGTTAACATAATCAATAATTTTAACTTAACAAGATTTTCGTAACAACCTTTCGTAAGGGACACAGAAACATTTTTGCATTGGACCTGAATTAAGAGAACCTTCGCTACGCTTCGGTCGATTATTCTTACGGTTAACAATCGCGATACCATCACAGAGTGACTAATAACTTGCGTTCTCTACTTGAAAATGCATAAGCTGAAAAAGTTCGCGACATAGGAAAACTCGAATGCTGTAGCTAGAATATGGTTCAATGTTGCTAAGCGGATTTATTTATGGCAAGGTCATCAAAAACCAAAAGAACACAATTGCTTACGGCTTACCTAATAAATGTTACGAGGAGTAAGTCGTGGTCCGAAAAAATTCTTTTTACGGTGACGGTTTATCAGCAGACGTAGATGTGCAAATGTAGCACGCCCTGTACTATTTATATCACGCTGGAACAGTACCATCGTCGACCACACAGCTAAAAGTTTCCAACAAGGCATTAAAAATGATGACACCGCCAGTGATCCACCGAATTCCATGCATCGCATTATCTGTATTAGCGTTAGCAGTGCCAATCCACGGAGGCCGTGAACAAGCCATTGCCTCCGGACTGCCGTTAATATCCATCACCAACTGGCACGGGGAAGGGTACGGTGATTTACAGATTCGGGGCGATAAAAGTGAATACACAACAGTACCCAGCCATTACTGCTACATGAGCCAGCGGAATGACCTTTGGGTATTACAGATGATCGGGTGTTGGTGGTCGGTACGCGGGATTCGATGACAGTTATTGCGCTTTCGTGGTCAAACACGAGCGCAGCGTCCCCAAAGTGGGCTCCTTGACGTTGTGTCGGTGTGATCAGATCCTGTACAATGCCAGATCCCCAAAGTTCCTATAGCGGACCCCTCCTCAACCGTGGCAGGCCACGGATTCCAACTGTTCTCCGTCAAAGACGGATGGGTGGATACGACGCTGGAGTACATTGAAAGTGAGGTCTGTGCTCCGGGTCCGTGCTGTTACGAGAACGTGACAAAAACTCCGGATTTTCCACCTGGATTCGTTCCGAATTACAGGAAGAGCGCAACAACAGGTAATGTTTTTTTGCTGTTGCGATCTTGCTGAAGATTTGTTCTGTTCCTTGCTATAATACGTTACAGCGGTTTGACTACCACTTTAATTTTGAAGTGCTCTAATTTTCTGAAGTGATGAGTTAGCCAGTACTTAGCTATTCTTGCACATAGCAAGCACAGCTGAAAACGTCAGCGCCGTTTTTCTGCAAAATTCGCAGCGAATGTAGCAGCGCCCATGCAATTGTTAGATTCCGTTAACTTCAGTTTTGTGTTTAAGGAACGACATTGTCCACGACGACAACCACAACAAGTCAAGAATCTGTGGACGAACAAAGTAAGTCTTAAATTCCTGCAATTCAACTATTCTGTATCTTTATACATACTTCACAACACGTTGATTCTTAATTCGTAATTGGTGTTTCCAGAACAAGGACTGAGCACCGGAATTATTGTTGCCATTGCCGTTGGTGGTGGAGTAGGTAACTTCTACATAAACCGATGTACACTATAGTGCTTGTGTGATCAATTGTTTTTCTGCTTAGCTTGCCTGTATATGCTGTGGAGCTGGGATCTATTACTACTACCGACGTCGAAATTTAAGCCAACCAAAAAAGAGGCCGACTTCAGCCAAAACCGAAAAAGAAAACGCCTAAACCGAATGCAATTGCGTGTCGATAAAAAACTTAGACTTGCTCGCAAAAAGTAGACAGCTATTTTACACTGCTGTCCTTCAAATTTTCTGTAATTTTAGCTTTTTTTCAAGTTCTACATCACCATTTTATTTATCTGCAATACTTATAATTGCGACAAAACATTAACCGACAAAACGAAAAATAAACCTCTTTTGGCGTATTGTACTTGTGTTTAGCAATAGCAGTTCTACTGCACGGTCCGCCCTTGACTTACAACTTATCACTGAAAGGAGAGCGTATTAAAGCTGTTCTATAATATAATTTTTTAAAAGTCTTCGCGGCAAAAATTAACGGCTCAGAAAGAAATGGAGTCCTTACAAGACGTACACTGTAATAGCCCGATGAGAGCAGGACGAGCCTTGTCGTTAGGTGTCCGTGTCCTTTCATTTTAGCGTTCCTAAGCAACACGTCGGTCAAAGAGGTTAAAAGTCCAACAGGCCGATCAGTTTTGATGCCACCAAATCCGTTCACTGTACACTTGACTGTACCGTTTACTGTCCGCTCCGTGTTGCGAAGCGGGCCTAAAATATTTTCTTAATTTTGTAAGAATACAGTCAAGAAATAATCCACTTCCTGCGTATCGGTATGGAGGACTTTGCTAGCGGTTGAATGCAACGTCAACCGTAACGACTGCCAGTGCAAGGTTTGATTATGACAATATAACGCTAAATGCAAAATATACCGATTAATTAACATGTTATCCTACTGGTAACTATCCGACGGTTTTGGCACCACCCTTAAAGTGTCCAAAAGATGTACCGCAGAATTTATCCTGTTTGCGAAAAGTAAGGTTGGAGCGTTGTGAATAGTAAAGTGTTCTTGGAAAGCCGCGTACGTATCGCTGACGATCCGGTCCATTTTGCTCATGCAGTGAATATCAGCATTCAGGAACGCGAACTAATAATTATTATTCGTTAAGATGTCGAAGTGCTGCAATATGTTTGACCAAATCCTTGCAGTGTTACCCTGAAAAGCTTCACAACCCGTTTTAGTATTTCGTTCGAAGACAAGGAAACGGCTCTGTCGTACAAGAAATTATAAATAGAATTTTGGTAGGTTGCGTGCCCCAACAGTTGGCACCGAATCCCATTTAACGCGCCCAGTTAATCTGCTGCACGGAAGAGAAATGTCTTATTATACAGTTACACTGTGCCAGATCGTCGCACGCTACCGTGCGAAGCTGAAAGAATGATGCGGTTCTTTCGTGACAGATAGGAGGCAGATTCTGTTCATCTCTTGCTGCGCCATTGCATTTTGCCATTATCAGTGTTTCCTGCGTACTGATATGACACGTTTCCGTTTTGGTAAGCTTTCATTAGCCACATCAGGCCAATGAGGCTGTACCGAAAGCAGAAAGTCTCATGTAAATTCTGCACTTCTACTGAACCACCTGGACGCATTAGTGAAACTAGAACGAGAAAAGCAAGAGCAAAACGTCGCGATCATGATGACTATGACAAAATTAATCTGTTATTGTGCTTTTATAAATGCATGCATAGTATTTATTGTACGTATCCTTACTCGCATTCAATTCAGCAGGGTATAATTATATTGCATATTAAAGTAAGTATGCATTGTGCACATGCTGTAATTTGAAGTAATACTCGTACACATTATAATAATTGTAATACACATGCACATTATAATCACACATTACTCGTACACATTATTATTAAGTATTATTATTATTCTTAAGTACAGTACATATTGTAAAACACTGGTTTTGCGCGTTCCACATGTGCGATAGAAAAGGACGCTGTTGTCACGGAGTGTTAACGTTTTCAGGAAGGGCAGTTACAATACAGTACATAAATTTTGCTCAAAACCTTACATAGTTGACGTCGGGGTAGCTTTTGCGCTATGTAAAGCAAAAGTGAAAGCTGCATTTTTGTGCTACTACTTACTTCTACGAGGTACTAATCGAGCATGAATGACGCCGAAGCTCAAAAGAAGCCATCTTTGGACGGACAGCCCAACACTGGACAGGGCCGTATCTGGGCTGTACTTGTTCTTGCTTCGCTGCTAAATTTGCTCTTCGTCGTTCTTTTGGTTTATTTTGAAACGAAGCCTTTGAAAGAACCAGTAGGTAAAGATCACAATTCGATTGTATGCATAAATACGTCTGGGCTATCAAATCCAGTATACAAGGCTGTTTGCGTGCTGCAAAACTGATAAAAAAAAATGTCGATACGGTTGCAACGAAAAGTCCTGTTGACAGTGCTTAAAACTAATTTTCCTGGTTTAATATCCTTGTTATCGCGAACTTTTAAAACGTGGCCTGTTGTTGCGAATGGAAAAATGTTTTGAATGGCTTATATCCTTTTCATAGCACCATAGCATCTTCGGTAGGACATTTGGGTTATCTGGTTTTGTGTTTGCAGAGCCAGTTAAGCAGTGCAGCGGAAATGTTACAGCTCCGGAAGGTAAGCGTGTTCGGCGCTCTCGTGGGGAAATATCAGTGACACATTCCTACGTCATGACCGTCCCGTATTACCACCACAACGTTCTGATCTACCAGCAAACCAAGGGCCCGCTCAACACCAGCACCGATGGCCGCGAGAAGTACTACTACCAACCCGCTCTCATGATGAACACCGAAAAGACCCGCGTCTCCATGAATCCGTTCACGAACCGTTACGAACTCCTGCTGCCAGTTGTTCTCTGGAACGAAGCGTACGAAGACCATATTCGCCAGCAGATTATGGATCAAACCGGGAAGAACGATTTCCTTTTGAGCGTCATTCCCATGGAAGAGGTCCGGGTGAAATCGGTCCGACCGAAACCACAAATCCAGCTGGTGACACGGTGGATGGCCTTCGCCAGTCAGCCGTCGGTGGTGACGTTCCGGATTGTTTGCAAGGACAACGAATCGTGCGTGGAACTGCTGCAGCAAATACGCAGCAGTCCACAACAGTTTGTCGGGGATTTGCGGGTCTTCTACAGTCTGGAGAGCCAAGGCAGCACCGGCAAGCGTATGACCGTCACCGCGGAGCACGTACAGCACAGCTCGATGTACGCCGCCATCAACCAGAAACTCCCCAATAAAGACCCGATTTATTTGACATCGGACGATGCGAATACGCTGCAGCGGGAGATTATGAACAACGTCCAGGCCACCGAAGTGGAAGACGAGGATTTCGTCAGCGATGCCAGCCAACCCACCTTGATGGGCTTGATCAACGAAGCGCTGGGGCTGGCGACCCGCAGTTCCAAAGATTTCGAAGAGCACATGTGGGATTCAGTGTTTTGGAACGATGACAATGCACGCCCGGATAAGGTCACCAAACGGCTGAACGATGTCGCGCGGAAGCTGGATGCGCAGTCGCGATCCAAATTGCGGACCGAGCAGGAGAAAACCCAAAAGTTTGGCGTGCAAGCTGACATCAGCGGGTCGTACAAAAAGGTCACCGTCGAAGCGGGCGCGAATTTCGGGCAGGAAGCGGTCGAGCTTACTAATAAAGAAAAAGAGGAATTGAAGAGGGCGGTCGAAGAATCGAAAGGCAAGTCCGTGGTCGAGGAGAATTATTCGTCCCGAAGGCGATGGAGTTAAAGCGTATTAACAACGGTAAAACGAGCATCGCATAAAAGCAATCATTTCAAATACATTGGCAGAGTATGGCTTTCATCATAGGAAATATTCGATCTGGCGCAGCATTAACCACCACCATCGTTCGCGTCTCCAAAGCCAAATCGCAAATAAGCGATATTATAAAGATCATTGATTTACACGGGAGAACGCGACAGCAGACCAGATCTTCGTGGCCGCGGACCGTCAGCCGGAAGTCTTTCACGTGCGCGCCAAAGAAAGCTTTATCTTGTTCACGCGTGAAGAAGCCATCGAAATTTGCCGACAGTACAGCGCGAAGCTGGCCTCCGTGGCGCAGGTGGAACGCGCCTGGGTGGAAGGAGCCGACTGGTGCTCGGCGGGCCATGCGGACGATAACCGTGTGGCCTATCCGGCGCATGTCTGCTACACGTACGCTAAGAGCTTCGACGGTAGCACGTTGCTGCCGCTACAAGAACGCTCGGCGTCGTGCAACGACGAAGAAGCCCATAAGAAATCTTTCGTCTATCAGACTAATACGAAAGACGAAGATGGCGGGTACAAGGAGTCCTGGCGCTTTGGTGTAAACTGCTGGGGTTTGAAACCCAATTCAAAAGTAAACGTACAGCATGGCGGCAGGATGCTGCAGGTGTGGTACTTTAACTCAACCCACTACAGCCAGTTCCGCGCTTGACAGCGATAGAAACCCCATAATACTCAGTAACGAAAAATCACCGGGTCGACGGTGTGTTATGTCTGTGAACATTCATCGTAGAAATCAAGACGCACCACGAATGACCAGTGTTCGATCTTTCAATAGCATATCTGACTTAGCTAGGTTTGAACTTTGCATCCGAAAGAATATACGACTTCCAAAGAAGTTACAGAGATGTTAGTTCTTACGCAAAGGTAAATAACAAACCGATAGCCGGGGCAGTTTGTGCATTCGTATATTATTGCAAAAACGAGAGTTAAAGAGCAACTGAAGGGGATCGATCCAGAAGAAGGCGTAACATCGTTCCACAGCAAATACAAGTACGATTATTGACCGTAACTCAATCAAATCCTTCAAACATCTACTTTGCAGAGGCGTAGAGGCTTCAGGTTCAAGGGGTGTTTGTCAAGTATCAAAATCTGCCAATGAGTAAGAATTACCCCGGTACCGTAACATGCACGGCTACTTGCATGTGGTGTCTCCGATTTCTAGCCTTGAAAAGAACTGAAAAGAGAGAAGACGATTTGTGAGAACCTGGCATGCGATGTGAAATCGATTAGCTGAAGCTCATCCCGAAAGTCTGTTTCCACGGTGAGTGCAACAACTCAGCAAAAGATTGTGATGTTACCAGTATGTGTACGTACGTACCTGTACTAAACCAAGTAAAATTTCGCTTTAAGGCTTTAACCAACATTTTGTTGCGCCATTACGTAAGTACTACTCCTTACTATTTGAGCTGTACTTATCAGAAGGGACGCTGTAGTAAAATAATAACATCAGAAGAATAATGAGTAACACAGAAAATCCAAAAGTCGTATTTCCTAAAGTGTACATTGCTCTTGCCATAGCTTTAACTTTAAATGGAATACTTTTACCCCTTGTAATAATCGCAGGAACAAAAGGGTTCAGGAGTCAACCTACCACAAAAGGTTAGTCCTTTTCTAATCTGGAGGTACTGACTAGCTTTGTCAGCGGTCAAAAGTAAATGTTGTTGTTCTTCTGAACTCTTACTGTATTGAACGTAATCCTTTTTTTGTAGATGCGGCCCAATCCCACCGTGGGACTGCGCAATCCCAGTGCCCGAGCCCACAGCAAAACCAAAGCTTACGCGGTACGTGCATAATATAAAGTGTGTGTTGACTGTTTAGGATAAATTATAGGATCGCTTTCCGCCACAATATTGGCCAAAGCGCCATGGAGCATTCTGTGTTCACAAAAACTGGGAGAGCCAGCGCAACGTATGTTACCCATAAATCGCTTCTTTGAGCGAAGACTTTAATTTATACCGTTTATAATTGGTGACTCAAGTGTGCGTCAGGATGGTCAGTTAAGTGCTACTCAGCCTGACTAATATCCTGGCAATTCAGAAGAAAGAGAACGATTTCCTAATACGTACAACTTCGAGCATACATAATCCTTAATTATCCAGTTATTAAAATTCGCTTTGCCTAATGGTGATAATTGGTTTTTCCTCAGCGGGCGCGTCTGGAAATGCTGTCGCAGCATCGGGCAACACGACCGGAAGCACTCTATCTGCCCTCACGTGGGGTCGCTACGAAGTGGTCCATTCCTACGTGATGGTGGTCAACTACTCGCACCACAACATCCTGATTTTCCAGCAGAATAACAACACCAAGAACGACTCCACCTTCGTGTACTACTATTACCAACCAGCTCTTTTCTTGGACCTACCTAAACTCGGCGTTATCAACAACCCCTTCACCCAGAAATACGAGCTGCATCTCTGGGTTCTGATGTGGAATCAGGCGTACGAAGAGCACATCCGTCGGAAGATCCGCGAACAAGCCCCTACCACGAACTTCGTTCTGAGCATTCTCCCGATTGAGAGTATCCGTGTCAAACCGGGCGGACTAGCCAAGCAGTATCAATTTGTGGACCGCTGGATATCCTACACATCGCAACCGCACTACGTCATCTTCCGGATAATCTGCCCGAATAACGAGACTTGCACGGAGACCGCGCAGAGGATCCGCGAAGCACCGGGTGCGTTTATTTGGGATCTTCGGGTTCAGTACAGTCTGGAAGGGCAGAGCAGTGTGGGAAAATCAATCGCTGTACGAGCCGAGCATGTCCAGCAGACGTCGCTCTATGCCGCCATCAATCAGAAGCTTCCGCAGAAGAGTCCGGTGTACCTGACTGCGGCCGATGCCAATAAACTCTCCACGGAGATCGCCAACAACATTCAAGGCGTGGAGATCGAAGATGAGGACTACATCGCCGAACAGAACGCGCCCACCTTGATGGCGCTGATCAACAAAGCCCTGCAGTTTGTCTCCAATAACACCAAGAACTTCGACAATGCCACGTGGAATTCGGTGTTCTGGTCCGATGACAACACGCGCCCCGATAAGGTCACCCAGGATGCCAACGAACTGTACTCCCAACTGGACTCCACTTCGAAGTCAAAATTCAAGCAGGAAGTTGCCAGCTCCAGCACCGAGGGATTCAACTTCAAAGTAGGCGCAACCTTTAGCGGAAAAGATTCGTCGGGCAGTGGTTCCGTGGGTGCCAATTCCGAAAACACCCAGTCAGCATTAAGTGAAAAAGAAGTGGACAAACTGAACAAACTGCTGAAGGAAGCCAAGACCAAGAGCGAATGGCAGGGAGAGAAGTTCGTCCCGAAACCAATTGAGGTCAAACGCATGAACACCGGGAATATCAAAGTCGGAACGCAACTATCGACGACACAGTTACGGGTGAAAGTCTCGACGTCCATATTGACTGACTCGATCAAGCTGGTGGATATCGAGCCGGGTGAAGTCAGCAACATCTTTACGACAAAACCAGCCGGCAAGGAAGTTTTCCTGGTGAAAGCTCAGAACGATTTCACCCGTTATAACAAGACGGAGGCCGCCAGTGTGTGTAAAACCCTGAACGCTGTACTTGCTAGTGTCGAGCAGATGCATGACGCGTACGCTGCCGGCGGAGAATGGTGCTTCACCGGGCATACGAGTACGACAAATGTAGCGGCGTATCCGGGGACTGTCTGCCATAATTACTACAAGACTATACGAAATAACGCGACTGTTTACCTCTTGCGGACGGTCGTCTGTGATGAGATGGCGCAATACAGAAAGACATTCCTCTACAAGACCGTGGGAACACAAGGATCGGTCAGTGTGGACGCGATGCGCTTTGGGGCCAACTGCTGGGGCTTACGGCCGGCGCGGGGAGAAAAACTAAAATATAAAAGCGATGCACTAACAGTAATGCCGTTCAATAAGACACATTATAGCCAATTTTATGATTAGAAACGTTTTATTTGTGACTCCATGTACAGTGTAGTAATTAGCCTTTGTTGATCGAAGCCAAAGCAAACTGTGATAAATAATAAAATATGGAAATGCCATTCGGAGCTTGGGCAAATATCACACTCTATACGAGAGAGTGAATTTCGAATCCTAACATGTGTCCTGAACTGATGTCCGAGCTGTAGAGTTGACAGGGATAGGTACTCTGGCTTACATAAGCTATAGGCGCAATCCGGCAGTAGTGCGCTATAAGTACCAGTTCAAGCTTCGGTGCAACAACATCAGCCGACAACAGTTACTGCGACAGTGCGACTTACAACCTTTACAAAGTGAAACACAAACAAAATTCAATGATAATTCCACTGATAAAGCAAACAGAACGAAATAAAATACACAGATTACTAAATAACTGGCACGTTCGTGATAGAGTCAGCTACACAGAGATGTAGCACGCGACGAACCCATTCCCACTTCCTTTGGACCGTTTTCCTCAACGGCACTTTTCAATGGTTTGCGCATTCGCTTCAGCAAGAATTTTGCTATGGGTTGATAAGCCACCCAAAACTAAGCAGCCATAGTACAGCCAACCGCACTGTGCAGTGTCCAGGACACAACGACACATGCGGAACAGGTTTTAGAATAGTATTTGCTGAAAAACAAAAAAAAATTTATTGATTTGTCCAAAACGCTTATCAGCAGGATAACGAAATAGCTGTAGAAGTTCGTTCCCGTTAGGACTGAAACCGACTGACTGTACATAGATGAAGCCGATTAAAGGAGGTTTTAAAAGTGAATCGACCGGGACCAGAGTCACCAGACCAAGTCCTGTCAGTGCACAAAACGAAAAGGTCGCCGCTCGATTTATAGCGTGTCACTAGGGCTCTTATATACCTGCTGGCTGATCCGAGACAGTTAGATGAGTTGGATTAGATGGAAAGGTTGAACCAGTTCCAGTTTTTGGGAAGGCATTGCACAGATCAGTGTTACAGCGGCATTGTGTACCAGTGGCACCCTCATTAAACCTCACACCTGCTTCACACTTCATTGCCTCCCTGTCGGAATCCTTCGACCCACACCACTGTCCGTCCAATCGAAACCCCTTTTCTAAATATAAAAAGTACGAAATGATCAGATTTCATCTCCGCATGAAAGCTACTCGAAAATAAATTAAAATCAAATCAAAGCCACGTCGTTTTTTCAGCTTTAAGTCTCTAACAAGACCTTTTCCAGCAAACCCAGTCAAAGCTTGTTTGCAGACAGATTTCAGGACAAAAACATACGTTTTTTGAATTTTTCTTCGTGGATATTCAACCTTTAGCCTTCAGGATAATCAGAACTCCACGAACCTTTCCCGCGCTCTGGATAAAACATTGTCACGTATTGACAGCTGGTTATACTCTGATCACAGTCCATAGTTTTATTGTTTAAGCAATTCGTTTTCATCTCTAGCCAAAATTCATTATCGGGAACGCTCCCACTGGCATACTGGCATTGGTAGCATTAATTTTGATCGCTGTTCCTAAACGAACACACTACTTTAGGTAAACGTTAAATGTTAACAGGATATATTTTACGAGATTGGAGGGAAATCCAGACCTACATATCTTGGTTTACAGCTTGATTTAGGTAAGCAGTAGGGCATTTCTTTGAGGGAAACGCATAAGTACATGGTGCCCACTACTCAGCCCGTAAAAAGCGAGTCTGCACTTAATCATCGCTCAAATTACGTTGCGGATACTTCTCCATGAAATATGTTACATAGCGCGCTGCTCTACCTGCGCAAACCATTGTCAGAAAAATCGTGAAATACAAGATCGACTTGCACTTCATGAGTCGTGAATACATCTGTACATGTAGCGAAAAAAGCCAAGTAACTCAATATGGGCGTTTACCAGCCCCTCTTGAGTCTAGACATCCTTCATTTTGGCCTAGAATTTTTGCTGAAATACTACAACTTATACCTCGAAACAGTCACTTTTTTAAAATACAAAGTGTATGGTAAAAGCTCGTTATTTAAGACAGTATTACTACAAGAAGTGAAAGATTGACTACTTACTGTGAACGAAGCATGATTGCGCGCAGTAATAGGATCGATTTTTTCACAGTTAAATTAAAATTTAATAAACAGCAATTCCACCATAGCAACACTGGCTGCAAATATTGCGGCAAATGAATCTCCCGAGCGCACATTCAGCAGACAAGCTGGATTTTTGTGGAATTAACAAGATAAGTACCACAGCGATAAGTCGTCTGCACCGTCTGCACCACAGAAATTAACAACATGCGACTGACAACAATGAACGTTTGTTGCAGATTTCTTGTATGAATTCCGACATTAGATAGTGCAGTTTTAAACTTACTTTATTTTTTTAAACACCACATTGCTAAATGATCGGATTACATACTCGCAACGACAGCTCTAATTCTGAACTTCCAAAGTATTTGCTATCATTCTAGACTATGAATGTAAAACTTATGCCCCGGATCGAAGGAATCTACTGTGCCCTTATTTAAACGAATTTCGGAGCCTAAATGATTATGTCAAAACAAACTGCACTCGCACAAATTATTGTGCTGAAGTGTCTTACGATCCCGATGGCGGCACAAGTAGGTACTTCGTCGTTTTAAAATATTAGAGAGACTTGCACTTTTCAAAAATTATACGATGATTTGATCTTGCGAAAAAATAAGAAACCGAAGAAGAAGAGATAACACAATTACCAACAAAACGTCACCATCACAATATTATGTAGTAATACGCTTACAGGAGAAGTCCCAAAATTTTATTTATACAGAGCGACAACCGCTCGTTGGTTAAGAGCCGCCACTATGGCGCGCATTTCTGAGCTGGTTTTGGGCGCAGTTTTAATTGCTCTAAAGTTATTTTCAAAAATTTTTGGACTTAAGTAGGCGAACGGGAAAAGTAATCCGGTTGCTTGTACGCGATTAACAGCTCCGACGTTAACAGTTAAATTTTAATAACTCATTTTACCTTTCCGTTTCCTCTGTGCGGCTATTAAACGATATCGCATTTCCCCGCTGTATCTCTAAGTCGCTAACAAAGAAATTTATGTGGCTTCTCTCGAACTTCCTCCGAAATACTCCGATTGGCAATGATCGTTATGTGAGGCTGTATTCTACAGAAAGACTAATATACAGTAGAATGTGTGTGTTTTTAGCACCAGTTTTAACAAAATCATGATCAGCATGTTTCACTGCAGAAAGGTTTGTGGGAAAGAACTGTCTTGGCGATGATGGTTTGTAAGTACTCAGGAAGTATAAATACTGTAACCCTACTCGCGTACGTCCAATGCTCTGCTGCATCTGACACACGCATTTCTAATCAATAAAGTTTTCTGTTTCAGAGCGGGAAGTCAACAGGACAAGCCTAAGCCCCGGGTGCACGATAGATGAAGGTGGCGGTGTTCGACATGTTACATGCTTGTGCAACACTGATTTATGCAACAATCGAACGCTCGCGGAACTACTTGTAGCACGGTCCGCTAATAACGCAATCTATCCATTTTTGCCAGTTTTAACTGTTACAGCTTTTTTAGCAAAGCGTCTGAGACACCGGGATTATGATACCGGTGTAGAATTACCCGAAATCTTGCGCAGAGAATTGCAAATCTGCCACGTGTACTTTCGGTTAATGTAGGTAATTATTATTATTATTGGTAATTAGTTTTGGTGAATGTTCTAAAATTAGCAAGTGTAGTCAAGGCATAAAGCCGGTTGACCGCTTGCATCAACCCAACGTTTATTTTTCCTGGTGTAATTGCCGGTTGCCTAGCAGTTGAGCGAAGCTAGTACGCGGAGGTTGACGAGCGGCTGCTTTTCTACATACAAGAGACTGCCAAACGAACTGCTAGAAAAAGCTAAACAGCTTCCCTGTTCAAAGAGCAAAGATTTATAAAGTGATCAGTGTCTATCGTTTTGTGTGCAAACCATACCGCTATCAAGGAAAGGGGGAAGAAGCGGCTGACCAGTAGAGTGAGATAGAGATTGCGTGCCATCAGCAGTCCTAAAACAAACTAGCTAACGATTGTAAGTTAGTTTAAACTTCCTGGTTTTTACTCGAAAAAAACCCACGCGCTGTCCAGACTCCAGCGCCAGATGAAATGGCCAAACCAAACTGATTTTACTTGAGGCACCTAAACGAGGTGAAGCCGAAAACTAACCATATGGGTAATCTCTGCTGTTTTGCTAACGTACAGTACTTTTCATGGAATAACAGCAAATTTTTGGCCAATCTGGACTAGACCGCTTTCACAAGCAAGTCCAATTAAAAAAAAGGCTTATTCTTCCATTTGCAGGGAAGAGATCACCTTGGTCCAGGACCGGGGTTTTTTTAAATCTCCTTATCCCTTTAACGTTTCATATGTTTTGGCCTACTTTATTGTATCCTGATATTGCCCGAAACTAGTTTTGTTAAACGGCAACACCAGCAGTTCATGCCCATCGTAATACTTTATCTCGCGGCCCAACGGCCTTATTCCGTAACAGTTTAAGCCCGATTGGGCTTCATTATACCACTGCCCAGTTTCAACACCGACGTACGAAAGAATTTCAGCGGTATCCTTATAGCACACATCCGCTCTGTACGTAGCATCGGCGCGGCCGCCCATACAGGTATTCGCGGGGTACGCTAGAGTCTGCTCCTCTGCGACATGGCCAACCACACACCAGTCGGCTCCGTGCGACCAAGCGTCGCGCATGTGGGCCAGTGTCGCCAGTTCACATCTGAAGACGTCTCGGCAGATGCCACTGGCTTGGGGTTTGGTAAAGGTCACCACAGTGTGCGTTGCCCGCACATGAAAGGCTTCCCGGATATCCGATGGCTGTTTCTTGTGAATGGTTAAGCTCCCGTCTGATGGGTTATTTGCGTCAGCGGTTTCCGTTAAACTGCCTGCGTAATTGAATCGTGTCTTCATAACGCCGATGATCTTGGAGATCCTGATCTAAAAGATACGCAAGCAAACTTTGTTTGTTACAAAATTCCTTCAAGATTCAGAAAAGCAAACGCACTAACTTTTAGGCAAAGTAATCGCAGGTACCGAGGTTTGCCGACAAAGGTCAAACAAATGAATGAAAAAGCAAGATGACGTTTACATACCGATAAAGATCCAAAATTCGTCGTCTGCTTCAACGCTGCCAAGTTGGTCCGCTTGAGCGCCAACTCCTTCGGGATAAACCGGGTACCTTTCATCTCGGTGACCTTTCTGCCTTCGTTGATGTTGCGCAGATAATTCTCCATCTCATCGCGCTGCGAGTTGGAACTGCCTTTATTCGTGCAGGCCGACACTTCCACGCCACCGGCCCCCTCGATACCAAAATTGGCGTTTCCGCATTTCTTCTCGCTCTCCTGTTTCTTAAAGTAATCCATGATGCGGTGCTGGGTCTCCTGGTCCTGCTTGTCGAATGAGTCCTGGTATTCGCGAGTGATTTTATCCGGACGGGCATTTTCTTCCTTCCAGTATACCGATTCCCACATCTTGGGCGTGAACGACGCCGACGTGGTCTCCTGGAGTTTGAGCGCTTCGCCGATAAAGTGCATGAGTGTCGGCGACTGATCGCCGCCGATGAACTCCGCATCGGCAATTTCCGCAGCCATCACATTACTGGCGATCTCCTGCTGCAGCTGCTTGGCGTCCTCGCCACTTAAATACACATCGGTTCCCTGGAATTTCTGCTGCAGTTCTGTGAAAAGCTTCCCGGTTTGCACGTGCTCCGCGGTCAGCGTAATGCGGCGGGCCGATGAGCGCTGCGACTCCAACGTGTAGTACACTTCCGCGTCGCTTAATAAATTCACTGTCCCGTTAACTAGGCCGCCTTTTAGCCGCTGACATTTCCATCCAGTCGCGCAATACACACGAAAAATCACGGTATCCGCTTGGTTGGAGTACGGACGCCATGAGTTCTCCACTTCATAGTCAGCATCCCACTCGGGATTCTCGATGGATAAACGGATGCTCTCGATGGGCATGATGCGCAGTTTCATCACAGGGTTCTCCGTAAGCTTCGTCATTTCCTGCTTAATGTGATCAAGGAACTTTTGGTTGTACATGATCGCGGAGAACTCCACAGTGAAGCGCTGCTCAAAATGGTTGAAGGAGAGATTTGTGCTGCTGGCATTAATCAAAAGTAGGGGGCGTAGTAATAGACGCCCGCTTCCGGAGTGCTGTTGGCTGTGGCGGTTTGTTCTTTCTCATAGATCAGGATCCGGTAATTTAAGTAAGGAATAGAGTATCTGGCGGTCCGCGAGATCTCGTATTTGCTCCATGTGAGAGCGGTCGGTGGGGCGGGTTCAGGATTCGTCTGTCCGTCGTCTAAGTTAGCAGAACGTAAGAAAATGCGCTCCGTAATGGTTAATATGGCACGATTACCTGCTGCTCTTTGCTGGGCTTCCCTGGCAGTTCCATTGGGCGATCGTACTGCACCGAAAACGCTGTCTGCAAAATAAAACAGCTATCTACAAAAAATGCCTTATTTTTAACCATTGCTGCTGTCGTTAAATGTTAAGTTATTGTAGAGATAATATAATTTGCTCTCATTGATAACCCTACTAAATAATGCTGTGATTAATTACAAATTTATGCTGTTTTGTCAACAAACGAAGAAAACAAGAGTACGTTCCCGCGTGACCTTTTGTTGTTAGACACAGGTTGAAACGCATTTGTCCATTTTGCACTTAGTGCGATGAAATTCCGGACTACCTCGAACAACTCAGTACTCACCATGAGGGGTGCTGCGTTCAACCGTTTCTCGAAATAGCATGACATAGACCAGGCTGGCAATAATCAGAAGCAAAACCATTAAAACGATCTGTAATACCCGTACATCGGATAAAAATCTCCACAGGCGATAGCAAACCATTTTCTGTGTAAAAAGATTTTAGATACTACAAGCTGCAGAAACTGCAGCAAAAATTGTATTTTATTGACGCATCATTAGAGTTTAGTACAAACGAATACTGCTCTAGCAAAATATTATATCACGATATCCTACGCAGTACGGTACCTGTAATCTATCGTGGCTGCTCATACAGATGTTCCTTAACAACAAAGCGCTACCAATACTGTAAGTCAATTAATTTAAAATAATACACATGCATCAAATTTAAACGCATTAAAAGTGGAAATACCCAAACTGGCCAAACACATTAGAAATTCGTTCGCTCAGTACCTCCCGACCTTTTTAACTATACTGAAATCAGCCTTTGTGCGGATGCGGTTATATATAACCATAATAATGCATAATTATGCACCCAGCAAAATCTTTCTGCAAATGTTCTAACTTAAAGATCCGTGGTTTACTGTTTTGGAAAAATTGCTTTGTCATGCTGACCTCACATCTAGAGCAGACTTCCTTAACGGGAAGAGACTGTTAACGCTGATTCCCCAGTTGTGACTAGCATAACAGTTCTCAGCGTAATGTCTATCGTAATGTCCGAGTCATTAATGTCCGAGTCCGACTAATTAATATTACTTATTAACTACATCCTTAATTTGATTTGTTACCTTGACGACACAAATATTATTTTGGTTTTTTGAGGCAGTAGTCATTGTGAGGAATACTCGGTATATTCGGGCAACAACATCAGCTACAACAAAAAAATAATAATACAGTAAGAGCTTCGAGTACAGCTGAAGGTGTTTACCTATAAGGAAGTCAGGACTGCTAATTCGGATGCTTGTAGGCGTTATCCTGACACTAGTTTTGTTACAGAAATAAACGTGTAATAATAAACAGCCAACATGATTGTGTTACTGGTTCCGCTGACTCTAATTCTGAATTGTCAAAGTATGTCGAAAACCAATCCTGCTCGAACTGCGACATATTTCTTTTTACAGACAGTGCAATACGTTTTGATTTTCTGGATTCATTGCATTTGACCTTAGGGTCAAATTTGCACCTCCTCATTGTTTTCTTCTTTCAGGGGTCGCAGCAATCCTCTGTTATGAATGTAGAACTTCTTCTCCGCCTACGCCAAATCATTTGTGCCCCAGTGAATATGATATACAAAACATAAGCGCTCTTCCCAAAACAAATTGCACCCGAACCAGTTATTGTGCTGAAGTGTCTTACGAATCACCAAGGGGCACAAGTATGTAGATAGCTTCGAAGTTCGCAATAGCTCAAAAGGTGTGTTTTACTCGCATCCTGAATTCCACTGTGGTTTCCTCAAAGTTACCGCGAAAAGCGTTCGATAATTATAGGCTACACGATACGGAAGAAAGGAGAATGTCAGTAGTTTTGGCTCTTAATGGTTCGCGGTCGTGAATAGTTGGCTAAGTCTGAATTTTTAGTCTGAGCAACATAGTTGATCCGTGGCCTGCACACTGTCGCCGCAACCACGTCGCGCCATAATTTGTTTAGTTGTACGTATCTTAGCGCTTATTCAAAATAAATAAAAGGCTGCCTGTATAGTATAGTGTACAAAGTTAAAATTAGCAATGTTCCGTTGCAGAAACGTTTGTGGGAAAGAACTGCCTGGGTGGTTATAGCCTGTAAGTACAGGTACACTCAGATTGTAGCCATCACGGTGAAGAGAGTTTTAGTACCTGTGAATGATTACGAATTTATTGTATCAAAAACTATAATTCACTGTTTCAGAGCATCCCACAGAGAAAACAATCCTAGCCCCGGCTGCGAACTAAGCCTTGGTGGCGGATCTCGATACGTTTACTGTTTATGCAATACTGATCTATGCAACAATCGAACAATACTGGAGCTAATCGCCGCACGATCCGCTTACAACAAATGCTACACCCTTTTGCCATTCTTGACGGCTACGGCAATCACTGCTCTGACTGCAGGGAAATAGGCCTACTGTAGCGTCGGGAACAAGTTAGACCACAGAGTTCGTAAATATTGCCCGTGCAGCGTGGGTATATGCAGTGCGCATTTTTCCGGTAAACGAACTCTGGTCTAACTTGCTACCGTAGCTGCAGTACTACCGCACCAAATTATTCGGAATCCTGCAGTATGGTATTAAAATATCTGTACGACACTTGTAAGTTCACCTAAATGTTCATCTGAGGCTCCCACAATTAGGAAGACTTCCTTATATGCCCCATTGACTGCTTTTAGCACCAACGCTTACGACTTTTTCAATCAAGAGATAGTACTGAAGTTCCGCATTAATGTATACTGGCAAATCTTGTCAGAAGTATTTTTCACTTTCAATGCTTAAAATTTGGGCCCCTTTTCGTTCATCAGATTTTGTTTCTGCTGAATGTAATCTTTACAAAGCTTTAGTCACGCTGCAAGCAAAGTGAAAAAGAACAATAATACCAGCCACGCTTTATAATGCAGCATTGCGGTACAGTGTATCGGTCATGCAGCATGAGTCATGATGAACTAGCAAGTTACTGTATCTTACCGATTGCATGTCTCTGTGATTACCTAGCGTACTGTATCATGATTTTTTATGTGTGTTTTATCACGGTTTACGTACGGAACTGCACCACTGTTATCAACCAAATGGCGGCCGAATCGCAACGCAACCATGGTTGGCTTATTAAAAATTTTGTTTGGATTCAAATAAGTAGGATTGCCGTGCAATACAAACTGTAAGAGTTGTCAGTGAACAACAATTAATACAATTACATTGCATATCTAGTAGGGTTTTCTTTGAGAATTTGTTTATCGTTGGCCGAAACGGATAGCCACCTCTTCTTCGGCATGTCACCGGTCACCGGTGCCGAATCTAAAAATAACGCGGCTTACCGGCAACTTCCAGTTGCACGCCCAACAGAAACGCCCAGCAGCAGCAAACGAATTTTTTTGGAATTTTGTAATAATAATATGATATATATTTCGCAGTATGGCATTAGTAATATATCGCACTGTCAGTATGATGGGGATAATTTTGAAGCTGTGAAAGCGCACTTTCATCAAAGATGACCTTATTCATCGTCTCCAGTAGATGGGCATCCTCGATCGCAGTGGCAACCAGGATGATTTAGCTGAGCGGGTGCGCAAGAATTTGCTGGAGCGGGCATCATTCAACCAGGAAGTGGACGGCAAAGCCGCAGCCTTCACCGACCTTTACACACTCTCAACCGACCGCCCGTTCGCAGGCAGCGATTTCGCATAAAGCTAGGGCGTCAAAGTTGCGCGCAAGTCGGTAGCCGGTGGTTAAATTCGGCCCTAGTGTTATTTTGCAATATTCCTCACTACGGCTCCATCGAGCCTTCCGCCCCTGCTGTGATTCCCACTGGCAGCACTACTTAAGTCGTCGTCTGTGATATTATTACACTATGTCGTTACTATGGTTGTAACTTGTACCGTTTTGCTTTAAGGCTGGAGAAAATATTTTGTAAAATCTGGTTTTTTCCAGGATTACGCGGTTTTACTTACTGCATTGTAACAACTACGGCTCTTCCCGTATCTGTAACGTGTATTGTAATAATTAACGACGTTCAAAACAAATGAGTTTGTGGCAGAGTTATCCACACAACTGTTGTTTTGGAGCTAGATTGTAGTATTTGCAATAACAACTGTCAGATAAAAAAATTAAAGCTAGTGAATGCCAACTTTTGTACTACCTGGCCGCTACATAGGTATATCGAAGCACCTGACTGCTTAAGGACGTCTCGCTAACCTTCATATTCCATGTTAAAAAATTGCTTTTGTCGAAAGAAGATGAGCTGGAAGCCGTTCGTATCAGTAACGATTATTCTGATATTATCCTACGAAGGTAAGGCAATATTCTGGTATTTTAGGATCTTTATCTTGCATTTCCTATAAGTGACAAGCTCGCATTTTTATTTGATGACTGCTAAATTGGATTTATAATAAAATTTAAATTTCCATTTGGTATAATAAGGTTCGTGTCAATTTGATGCCATGTTTTCCTTGAGATACCCAAGGTATTTAGGGACTGCGCTTAAATGCTACCATTGTGAATACGTAAGCGGAGACGTGCCGGATGACGAGTACTGGGAAGATAAGAAAACGAACTGCCTGAATAGCAAGACCATGGATTGTGATCCCAGACCGTGACAGCCCAAGTGGTTGCTGGACATTTCGTCGTGGGACATTTCGCCACACGTTTTTCGTCGCAGCGGCTAATTTGTTTTGGGATAACTCGTTTTGAAACCGTTTTATTGTGTGACACTTGGTCGCACGACTTTCGCGGAGTCGAAAAAATATCGACTGGTTTATGGCAACGAACAGTCATATGACTGTTTGCCACAAAAACGACTTGTCCTTAGACGAAATGTCCGTAAAACCAAATGTCCCGCGACGACCTGTCGCGTAGCCATCCAGACATAATTAGTTGTGTAAACGCAACGCTGTTTTACTCCCGCCGTAAGTTTCTTTTGAAAACTTGTTTCAACTCTTTCGTGTAATATGAATTTTTCGGTAGGATGATGCCTCTAAATCTTTACTTTGGGGGAATTTAATGCATTTTATGATCAAACTGTACTGCAGTACCATGGCTTGGGTTGACTGCTTTGTAAACGCTTTGGGCGCGGAACAGCATTCCATTCAGCAACAAGACACCGCTAAATTTCGCCGAGGTTAGCTAGTCACATAATATTTGGTCGCAGACACGTCGCGGCTAATTAAACTCGCCGCTCGTGTTATCGTAAGAGGAGAGGGAATTTGGGGACGGTGTAAACGTTAGGGACCAAAGAATCCGCATCAACCTATTCACTGAACTCATGAGCCTTTTGCCGGCAGATTGATCCGGCAGGCAGATTGATACAGGCAGATGTGTAAACCTTTCTGCAAACCTTCATCAATATTTCTCCCGGTAGCACCTGTGACCTTTCAGACATTCTGCCGGACTGCTAGCGGGATTCATTGACCAGATAGTGACGCTCCTATGGGTCGCTATCTTGTAGGACTATTAACTTATTAGGTGGCAAGATATTTTGTCCCGGGAAGAAAAAGTCGTATTTATACGAACGTACTGTTACGTGCTTTTTCTAAGGTGGAATACGCGGATGTAAAGTAGCTTTATTGATAGAAATAAGCCAGATGTTATTAGCTAGTTGAGCCTGATGTAAAGCTAAAGAAAGATACAGTAGCAAGCCGGTTTTATACCGAGCTGCTGGTAAGAAACTGTATAAATAGAACATTGTAGGTGGAACTAAAGTAAGTGTAACAGAAGTACATAAAAGGATACAGTACATATAAGGAGATAGTAATTATAGATATAGTGTACGTATAGTACTTATGTAATGTACTCGTAACATTCCCCTCCTTAAAACAAAATCGTCCTCGATTTTAATTAGTAATAAAAGATCAAGAATAAAAAGAAAGGTAAAAATTAATGCTGAATACGTGGGAGTCCATTGCGTTGTAGGCGGACTTCGGTTAGGGCAAGAGTTCTGATCCGGTATAACGGGTGGTCCAATTTTGGCTTCTGTTTCATGGTTTCTCACTGTTCAGGTTCCATCCTGGTTTTCTTGATTAGTTCGGGCGAAATTTTCATTTGCTCTTTGGATCGCCTCAGGGGAATAACGTGCGGCGATTGGGCGAACCAGTCGTGCTGGCAGTATTAACGTTAATACGTGGTGAATGAACACATGCTGATAAGTCGTCATTCGAGACGCGTTGGTAAAACCACATTCGCAACAATTAAAAATGGTATTGAACTGTTCGACGTTCAGAGTGTCGATATCGTGACAAATTGTTATGTCTCGGCTTTCGATGCACAGATTTAGATGAATATATTCGTAATTAGCAGTGCAGTAGATCAAAGGCGGGCTATCAAAATTAACTGGCGGCATGTTAGAAAATAAACCGAAAAATGAAAACAGATATTATTTTATCGGTATATTTACCGAGCGAATTTAAACTTTCGTATGTTAAATTGAAAAGGTTATAACAGTACTGTGCTGTCATGCGCGCTAAAATCAAAACGGAAAAAAGTAAACGAGCTCAAACTTGTTGACTTGAAAAGATTTAAATACTAGCAGCATCAGGAAATTGTGCTATAATTTACGCGTATAAGGGTGCACTAGTGAATGCAACTTTGACTGACGGTGCACTGTTGGCAATTGCTTTAAAATCTCTCAAAATTTGTGGATTGGCCAGATAAATATATATCAAATCTGATTTTTAAAGGAAAGAGAGAAATATTTTCAGAATGTTTTCAGAAGGAGGATCGCTTAACTTCGTACGACTCTAACGCACGTTACAGCTTCAGAGAATGAGGATGCCGGTTACCATATAAGGAAGCGTTTCGATCAGTATTACAGGAGGCATATACACAGGCACAGTGGTCCCACGCACTGCGCTGAGCATAAAGGGACGGCCTCAAATAAACTGAATTCAGAGATGATGTGATGCGACGGCATATAAGAGCAGAGAGCGCAAGGGAATAAAGAGCAAGATAGTAACAGACTGACAGCCTTCACGTATAGTGGATACTGCATCACTTGGACTGCGCGAGTGTACGGCATTCAAATTTCAAGAGCGATCTGTTTTTAATATTCATCTTCGTCGACGGATTACAAACTTCAATCAGTCAGCACCGCTTTGGCCAGTATAGTATAGTAAATTTTAAAAGACGTCGTACTGATGCGCAGAATTTATAGAGGAACGTTTCAAATGCAATATGCGGTTGGCTCGGTACCGGTAAGAAATATTTTTATTGACAATAATAAGTAAATAAACTGCAGTGCGGTATAGGAGACCGATAGCTGCTTGGGATAGCAATTGCTAAAGACATAAGGAAAATATTTATAAATAATTTTCGTATAGAAAACGTATGCGGCATATCTGCCTCTTAAGTACAGAGACAATGCTGTACTATTACTGTAATAAAATTTAAAGTAAATTATGCATGCTGTGCTGACAAAAACAGATAATAAGAAATGGAAGAAATACAGATCACTTCAACAGTACTTGGAAAGAACGTAAGGAAAACGATATCAAAGAACTCGACGATCGATAATCATATTCGAAGCGATAATAATAATGTTAATTAATTTGGTCTCGTAAATTCCAATTAAAGACGGTAGATATGGTATTTACGAGTGTTTACTCGCTTCTCATGCTGCCTCTTCCCTCCTTGCGGAATATTGATGTTGCGCATTAACAGAAATTAGGAATAAATCGAATGAATTATAGTAGCTGCACAACGGTTTAATTAATTATCGAAAAATTGCAGATGTTAATAAAATAAGATAAACACGGTGCACAGAATTCCGTAATACAAAATGTGATTTACGGACGATGTAACGAGGTTCGAATAAATTATTTTAGTGCTGCAGATAACGCAAAGAAAGTAAAGGAAAGATAGCGAATAATGATTTGCCATATTTAGGCAGCAGTAATTTCTTTTGAACAAAGGTGAAGAACATAATAATGCTGCTAATATTTTTTTTTTTTAAAGAGATTTTTTGTTAGACAGAATTTCCCAGCATTAAAAACCCTTGCGATATTTACCAAGGACACGGTTGCACGCAGTATATTAGAATCATCCTGGGTGGCGGCATACAGCACAAGCATACGCTGAAATTATACAAAGAATGCCGGATTTACGCAATATGTGATCCTTTCTCCTCCCTGGTATCGATAAACTCATCGGTGAAATAAAGGTCATAGGGATACACTGATAAACGAAATAACAGCTCTTCACAGTATAGAACTTTAGGAAAGGTCAGGGGCATAAAATGAATTAATTAATATAGGTGGAAAAATAAAGGTCATGGGCACTCGTGTTAGTTAGGCAAAATAACCAACAAAACCTGGAGCCACCAAGTTGTTACGTGCTTTTTCTAAGGTGGAATACGCGGATGTAAAGTAGCTTTATTGATAGAAATAAGCCAGATGTTATTAGCTAGTTGAGCCTGATGTAAAGCTAAAGAAAGATACAGTAGCAAGCCGGTTTTATACCGAGCTGCTGGTAAGAAACTGTATAAATAGAACATTGTAGGTGGAACTAAAGTAAGTGTAACAGAAGTACATAAAAGGATACAGTACATATAAGGAGATAGTAATTATAGATATAGTGTACGTATAGTACTTATGTAATGTACTCGTAACAGTACTCACACCTCTCCCGAAAAATTCCTTTTTAAAGGACCATGAATCTTGGAAGCAGTGTTAGAAGTGCCAGCGAACAAGTATACAATGGTGGTCGTGAAGCTGTCACCGCTGAACGTTATTAAGTTGTGCAATCGACAACACTCTTATTCACCAACTCTTCACGAACATATGCGCAAGCTGCACGCCAACCACCGGAGTGCCATCCATGCACCACGCGAACGGATCCACCAGGAGTCTGTCAGCAGCAAAGGTTCAACCTGATTGCAAGTTTACGACATGATCCCAACAGCCTACCAGAAATCATTAAGCCAAAAGAAGTTATGACCAATTTGGATGGTTTTTTCCGAGGTAAATCAACAACGGACACGCCTCTTGTAAAGGAGGTATATCAACGGAAAGTTTCGCGTGAAATCGTGCTGACCTTTAATTCTGCACAAGAAAGGGATAAGGCACAAGAACTATTGGCTTCCAGTGAAGTTTTACCCATTGAAAAGCTATCTGTTCCGAAGACTACTTTTCCCATTATCGTTAAAAACGTTGACGTGGAAAATTGTGAACATTTAAAGGAGGAAATAGAATTTAGAAACCCGTCTACCCGTGGTCAAATCGCTTCTGTTCGCGTTATATTCCGCAAGAGAAGCAATAATAGTATCACTTCGTACACCGGAACAGGACATATTAAGATCCATTTTACCAATGCAGACGCGCAACAGAAAGTTCTTGCAGCCAAGCGTTTATATGTATTCGCCACCTGCGGTTGGACTGAAGCGGTTAGCATCGACTCAGCTGTTTTACGATGTTATAAATGTAACAAATATGGTCACAAAGCGAGCGCATGCCAATCACTTATTCCTGTGTGTGGAAGATGCAGTGAAGCGCATTTTACTCGTGAATGCCACAAAGATTCCTCGAACTATAAATGTTCAAACTGTTCGGAGAATCACGCTGCTGGATCTACCAACTGTCGTTCGCAACAGCGGGCTGTAGAGAAGTACCGTACTAGGTTTTGACCACTCTTCTCTCAACCCTAAATATTTGACAATTACTACGCTGAAAATCTGAAACCACTTTGACCGGTCCAATATTCTACCCTGAAAACTGTTACATCTCATCCTGGAAACCATTATGAAGACTGCAATAACATTACTGCCATGAAGAAATGACCTCAACCAAGATTTGTTGGAGCAATGGTCCATTCAAGGACTACGCTGTAAAATCCTATCAACAACAACAACAACAACTCTTATTATTAAGCTACGCGTACGATAGCAACCAATTTGAAAGAAACAAATTAAAAAAAACCTGAAACATACGAAAACCTTACAAAACCGATACCGTTTGTTCTGGCCCTCGCTCATTTGGGTCTCCATACTGAAACGGTTGAAGAAAACGGGAGAAGTTTCCGCTGCTAACAGCCGATAGCAATTTTTGAAAGTATGTCGAACCTTCGAACAGATTTTTTTTTGGATCTGCCAAGTTTCATCGATTGCCAATAAGCGGCCAGTCTAAGTGGCAGCGGCCAGTGATAGGTGTTGATTCCACATTTTGTACCTTCCACTTTTTGTACCTTTTATACAGCACGTTTTTGTGCCACTTATTATCTATAGAAGTATTGTGAGTCTATACCTTTTTTAAATTTCATCTTTTATACCATGCTGCTGCGATATAACTGTACGTGTGCATTTAGTAAGTAACTTGTGCCACTTGCATTTCTCAACACTGCGATGTTTATGCGTCTCGAATATTCTCGTATCTTATCTGTATGTTACAAATCTGTGCGGTTTTTCATAACACTTTCAATGTTTCCTTGCAATTTTACCGAATCGTGTACATCCACAGGAACTTTCACTGTCACAAACTGCCAATGATATTTTGTAGCCAAAACATTTGTATACGTAGGCGTGAAAGTGCGTTTGCGCGCTACGGCCTCCGGTTGGAAAGTTATGGGTGAATCAAAATTCCAGAAAGTATAAATGCCTGCTGTTGGGGGTCTCGATCGCAACAAGAGGAAATGCCGAAGTCCCGGGTCGCTAGCTGATACACTAATAGGTTTTCTTACGTACTGGACAACAGGTACAGGTCAATAGCTCTTGCTGGTGTTTGATAGAAAAGCTAGTGTCTAAAGGAAGAAAAACTTTTAGGAGGCGAAATTTTCATCGCTTCAAAGACTTAGTAACAAATTAGTAACAAAAATATTTTTGCTGTCAAACACGAGAAAAAGAATTTGATTACCAACAATATTGTGAGTAATTTTTTCCAAAGTTTCTTCCGTGAACATTCAGTACAGCAATAAATAATTTACTGCTGTACTGAATGTTCAGGGATTCCCTGACAAAGTTTCTTCCCTGAAAGGGAAGAAACTCTGAAAAAAGTAATTCACAATACCACCAAACACTTAATTATTATGTGTGTGGTGTAAGTTAGCAACAAACAGTAACAGCAGTTATATTTCTGAATAACAGTACAGTATCAAAAGTTTTTGAGTATCATGGAAGGTACACGAAATTAAGTCCTTGATAGTTAGGCTCAATTTTCGCTAGGTTGGGACAGCAGATACCCCTTCCTTCAAAATAATGGGCTCTATAATATGCGCACCGTTCATGACTTGTATTTTCTATCTCACTTACGTAAACGGCGAGATCCGATTCACCTCTCGTCACATACGGAACACCGCAATATACAGCGATATCGACTATCGATTTCGGGACGTCGACGCCATCTACATGCCATATGAGCACTACCTCAACTGGTTCGAACAGATCATGGGCCAAATTGGAGGGGTTACGGCCAACCAGAGGAAAGAGCTGTTTGGAATGTTCGAGGGTCTTCTATCAGCTAAAAATGACACTTCAAAATTTGACGACGATCCTGGTATAAAAGACGTGCTACTGTGGCCGGACACGGTTAAGAAACCTACCGCCGTTGCAATGAATGCCACCGCAGTGTACCGCGACGCTCAAAATGATTGCGTGCGGGCAGCAATTATTGATAATTTTGAAAATCGCCCTCGTTCAGGCTGGAAAGTATGGATTAACGAAGGCAATCTCATCCGATTAGGGTTACAGTTCGCCCCAGCGACCGAGTATTGCAGTCTTTCTTTAAAGAAAGAAAAATCTGCAGGGTTAAAATACAAAGACGAAGGCTCATTCTTCTCTGGCGGACAGCACGAATCCGCTCCGCCCGAGTGGTTCAGTTTTACCACAACGCTTACCTTTAATGCAAAGGACTATATTACCTTTGTACCTACAGAATACAGGTTTGCACCGAAGCCACCGACTTTGGTTCACATGAACTTTTTATTAGTCCGAACTATGGTGACGTATGGAACTGTACCATAATTCAGCTGATGATGTCAAGTAGTTATCGTCGAAAATTGTGCCGCAGTTCGGGCAAAATCAAATAAGCCACGATAATTACAGACGCTGTGTATAAGGACGTAATGAAATATAAACTTCACACAGGTCAGTACAAGAATGGCCTACGTTCACAGTGTCGTGCGTATAAGACAAGCGAACTGGGCGCCCGACTAGTACGGACTGTTTAGTACACTTTTTTCGTAGCAGCCGCAAAAGCGAGTTTTTTTAAATCATTCATGAAAAGCGGCAATCAAAAGTACTTTTTATCAGATGATAGACAACTCTCACAACCTCAGTGGAGGCGGGGTATATCTGTAAGTACTCTCACCACCTCAGTGGAGGCGGGGTATGTCTGTAAGTATTATTGTTCGAAAATCGATCGCACTTCCGTTTAAACTTACAAAAACCCGTCTAGTGGTTCGTCAAAGAAGTCTTGGACCGGGATTGTGATTGTTCGCAATTTTTTACTCTGCAGGCTTCTTCCACAGTACGTGTTAAAGCAGTGTATCTTGATCTAAACCAGATTTGGTCAATATATACATGCCATTATTCTACGGTCAGAGCAGCTTTGCTAAAAAGAGAGGTAAAAACGGCAATAAAGGGTACAATGTGTTGTAAGATGATCGCGCAACGAGTAGCTCAGACAATGTTCGATTGTTGCACAAATCAGTATTGCACAAACAGTAGACATATCGTACGTGACCAAGATCGCTCACTTTGCATCCTGGGGTTGGATTATCCATTTCACCGTCCGCCCTACAACAGAAAATTTTGTCCATAACACCAGTGCTGATTTTTAGTGGCACCGCTGGCCTGATTGTGTGGGATTCAACGATGAATGTGCTTTGTACTTACACACCGTTCGAACCAAGGCAGTTCTTTCCCTTAAACCTTTCTGCAATGCAATCGGATTGTTTTGATTTTCGCACATCGTAAAACCCTTCTACCGAAACTGTATTTTAAATAAGGTAAGGCATCATGCAGCTTAGTAAGCAGACATTGCTGGTTGGTTTTATTAAGATCGTGGTAATAAGGTCGTGCGAATTTCGAAAAATCGGAAGTAGGTTGCACACATCAAGTGCTAATGTTGAGCCGTCAAAACGCTTAGGCCCGCGCTGAAGTTCGGACTTGGACTCCGAGTAGTAAAACTTGGGCTTCATTTTACCTGGATATAGACTTCTAAACTTGGACTTTTTAAGTTAGACTTCTGAACTCGGACTTATGTTTGTTCACTTACTGTATTTTTACCTTGTGATATTCAAAATTTTCTTTTTTTTAAGTATGCAGCATTAGAGCTTAGGCTCAGCCAGGAGGTCTGCCTAAGCGATCCAAGGTATCCCAATTAAAGTTCATTTCATTGGCAGAAAGGGTTGATAGTGTACGGTCTATGAGCAGTCTACCAAAACATTTTCTGGGAAAACTATTGGAAACCGACTGCTGATTTGAAAGGCAGCAAAACGTTACGCATCTAACCGAGTTCGATGCTTTACATTTTTTAAAAAGTACGAGTATTTGATAAGATTTCAATACTGGCATTCACACCCAATTCGGTTGGCTAACATTTTCGGGAAGGTGGGGATTTTTTAATTTTCAAAATGTATAGTTTACTTGTAGGGTACTTTCAAATTCAGTTATAGCAGATGCAAAGTTCTTTTCAACATTCCCAAGCTAGGCAGGCACCTGGTCACTCACTAGTCACTACCTACTTTCGCTTTCGGTCTGGTAGGATACTTCAGCACAATAATTTGTGCGAGTGCAGGTTGTCTTGGGAAGAGCGCTGATGTTCTGCTGTTCATTGTATTTACTGGGGCATAAATGTTGTGGCGTACTGGGCGATGATGTTGTGCATTCATAACAGACGATTGCTGCGACCCCTAAAAACAAACTAGAAGCGGCTAATATCGAAACATAATTATGAAATTATCGGCTAATATCGAAACATATAAAATCAGCCTAATACTATGGGATGACCCTACGGATGTGCATCCGTCCCTCCAAATATGTTAATTTAAAATATCTAAAATATTGAACATTCTACAGAAAAGATTTGTTAGCAGTTCCGCTTAACAACGTTCCGTGCGGGGCATACTTTGACAATGCAGAATCAAAATTATTGGTCCCAATAATCTAATCATGCTGCTTAATAATTATTACAGAAATGTTTTATGACGATCAGTGCTAAATTTCCGTACACACTAGAGCCCAAAGAGTCACAAACCAACATCAGTAAGCACTGTAAGCACTAATTTCAACTAATTCTAATTACTCCAGTAAAGATTCTCATTTATGTGTCATTATTATGCATTCTTGCTACAGTCAGTAATATTATTACAGTATTAAATTACTGTATCAAGAGTACGTACTGTACAGTGTACAGTCTGTACTCTCTGCTGAGTCTGCTCCATGTGTACAACCTTACTGCGAACTATGTTATTGTTGTTGTTGCATAAAGCCATAAACATACTGTACAACTTTACTGCGAACCTTCTCCCTGAGTTGCCCTTGGTAACGGTAGCAAACCAAACGTTATAATCATCTGGAATCAGAACTATACTTAGCCAGTGCCGCTCTACAGTAGTATAGGCTACTGGCGAAGCCTTTACTACTGTAGAGCGGCGCTGACTTAGCATGCTACTCAATCGATAATAACAACTGAGAACACCTGGGGGCAGTTTTACTAAATAAGGGTCATGTACAGTTTATTTGGAAGTTTTACATTTTGCACTCAGAAATGAAAACATGGGTGCGACTCATGTACAGCCTTACAAGTTACAGAGAACGAGAATGCTTCGGCTGTGTATTCATACACAATCCGTTAATTTAGGTCGATGCTGCATGCTCGGGAAAACATGGGAATTGCCTGCGAGCAAAATCCACACGGGTTTTGGCTGTGCTCACGAAGTTCGGACACTGGCTTTGGTTTTGGCTTTGGCTTTCTATACTGGGATGGTACCGATTAAGATACTGCAGAAATTATTCTATCTTCTTGGATTCTACGAGTACTTGTAAACAATTATAGTGGGTTTCAAGTACAGTACTTACAGTACATGCTAGTATTTCAATACATTGCCAAGTATTACTAACTTGCTAGCTTCGTATTGTATACTACAACAGTACTCTCTACAAATCTATGTGGACAAAAATTCACATACGTATGTAATTGCGTTATGTATACAAGTATGTGTTATACAGGGCAACCTCGGCCTCCGGTCTCGGTTTGCATTTTCGTCGAATTTGTAGAATTTATAAGCAAATACATAATATGTATTTACATAATAAATACAAATACATAATACATTACAAATACATAATATAGATATGTACATAATATGTACAAATATATTATTATATTTGTGGAGTTGATTTTTGGGAAGTACCGTCCCATTATAATAATTTAATAATTAAGCACGTTCTTCTTTTCTGTAGTAGGTTATGTCGCAGTGATAATGACGGCTTAATATGTAATGAATGTTCTAAAATTTTTGTAGAACACGTATGGCCTACCGAGTACGGTAGTGTTCCAGTTGAGTACCTAATGCCCATAAATATATGTCACATCGCCGTGCCAATCGCGTTTACAGCAAATTTAGAAACTAGTCCTATTATCCTAAACAAATTTCGGTAATGGTGTGAAAAATGGTGTGGCCGTTTAAGGGAAGTGGCTCGGTACAGGGTACCAAAATCGTGTATATGCACGAAATCTTTCACTTTCGCGCACTCCCAAACCTTTGTCCATTTGTTTTATCACATTCTGTAGTCAGATGATTTGTATACACAGGCGAGAAACGGTTTGGGCGCGCATCATCCGGTTCCAGAGCTATGGCTGTTAGAAAGTACCAAAAAGTTTAAATGCATTCAGGTATACCAAAAGTTTCGTTTTGACCCGATCTCCTTCAAATTTTAGATGAAAACGCACATTAGATTCTCCTTCAAATTTTAGATGAAAACGCACATTTTCTTTGCGGCGAAAAGTCGTGCGTCGAATTTAATTGCGGCGAAATGTCACACTCCCAAATGTCGGGGGCGGTTTGGGCACTTTGCGTGTATGCAACTTGCAACATTCGGTTGGACGTGTGTGGCGTGTAAGCAACATTCGGTTGGACGTGTGTGGCGCGTAAGCAACATTCGGTTGGACGTGTGTGGCGTGTAAGCAACATTCGGTTGGACTCATTTTGTCACTGTTTCGGGTGTGCGCCGTTTAATTCGCACATATCTGTGGAGCGAATGACTGGAAATGCAAACATCTGCCAAAAATGCAGCTTGCCAAAAATTCAGTCTCTAATCGACCATTTCTTGAACTGCTTCGTTTCCGAAACCACTTGTTTTTAGCGCAATCAATGATTTTAATTTGCCTTAAACAACACTATACTCGTAGTCATTAGTAATACAAAAGTACAATTGTCTGTAAAACACACTGATTGTGCACATTAATTGGCCGAATTTTCTACAGTAAACCAAAAATTCATGCTGTGTCTAAGTTGCGCAAAAGGTTCACAGTGTAAGCATTTTGGCTGCGTCTGTGTGCACGGTTGACCTTTCGGGGTCCGCATGGGTGCGGGTTGCGTGCAAGGATTTCGGGAACAGGTGTTGGTTGCGGGGACGGCTAACCATTTTTTCCATTTCTTATTTCGTTAATTTTTAGGTAATCATTTTATTAACTACTATGTAATTTGAAAACAAAACGGTTTGGTGGTTCGGGTTACAAATGATTTTCATGGTAATGCGTGTTTATGCAAAATTTGAAGAACATCCGTTGATAGAAGACTATTAGTACACCCCCCATGCGTTTAAACTTTTGGAATTTTGTCGTTTCACCCGTAGCAGTATGGTTGTGCATGGTTGTGCAAGCTTTCTGACGGGTCAGCCAGTTCGGCAGAAAGGTTAATTATATCAACGGTACCGCCGCCAGAAAGGCGGCAGTAGGAAGGTCAAAAAAACAACAATCTTTCTGCTGGAATTCGGTAGAAAGGCTGATACGGCTCCTTTGACCTTCAGCAATCAGCCTGGTTACCATTCTGCCGGTGATACGTAACGGTCTTCTAAAAGCATGCTGCCCGGTGGTATGCGCTACGAATTCTTTGATGTTGCTGTCCTTATTATTTCGCTGTGTAAAAATCCGTAGTTGTAGATTTTGGTCACTAACGAGCGGTCGGTAAATGTTCCCGGGAGGTTGGTGAAGATCTGAAACGGTAGATCATTTAGTGCATTATTATTATCATTATTATCGAACCCACAGTAGCCAAACTCCATTTGGGAGACTTTTAAGGCATGCACCCCAACTGTTGTATGTTCACAAAATTAAGAAACAATTTATGTTAGAGTTCCGCACAGCGCTGCTTTGAACTTAGAAGAGACGCTGGGAAATCTGCACTGAACTGAGTACTTATGTAAAGTGCTTGTAAATTTGTGAATTATAGGAATTCAACGCAGTTACCGTGATCATTTTGGCTTTGCAGTCGTAGTTGTTGTTACATTAGCACGCTCGGGAACAGTGTAGTTTGGAGTAGGGAAGGCCTCTCCCTTGCCGTTGCACAATGAACTATCACAAATAATAGCTTCCGCTTCGATAATGTAACGGGTACGGTCCTCAGCATCTATCCACACTCGACTGAAGTACCCTTTCCCGCAAGCTCTAGCATAGTGAACTTTGTCTGCAAAACATTGAAGTGGCACGTGTTAATTTAATAACAATTAATTTCAATATAATTCTACTAGAGTATATTTGCTGGAGAACGCACTTTTGCGGGCTATGGTAGACCGGAGCGCGGCGTGAAACATTTGATATAGTTCATTGTTGTCTTTTTAATGCTTAATTGACAAGCTGTTGCATATCAGTGCATAGTGAATAGTGTGTACGTTTAACATACAGTTTTCAGAAGTATCTTTTAAGAGGCAGAATGATTTTCTTCCTTGGTTCGTTGAAACAATTTTTTCCGCCTTTACGCCGGAAGAAGAGAAAACAGAAATATGTGCGATAGCAAGGTTGCGGAATGATGAGGCCAGTTTTGAAAAAAACTTTAGCAGCATACCACTATAGGAAGTTTTTTATAATCGCACCCGCAACCGGCTGTGACGCCCTAGTTATCACATTGCATTTTCCAAATTTAATTACAGTTTGGCTGAACCGAAGCTGTATACTATGATGGGTCGACAAGTTTACTGAGATTTTCTCCCTGTAATTTTTGCAGCCTCAAAACCTCCGCCGTAGGTTTTGGTCGTCCGAACATTTCGGCCGAATTGTAATTGTAATGTCGCACATATCAGATTGCGAAGACAATTTGTATGCCTACGGTAATATACCTTATCTCATACCTCGTGACCACTTCTTCTTGTCAAGCGGAACATTAAAATGACGAACGGTGATGCACGTCGTGGTTCCAGGTTCACAAGTCTTCTTGGTGTAGTTGTATGCTTCCTTACACTCATCTCCGGTTCCAGAGCACGAGTAGCATTCCCACGACGTTATTACACCTGAAAACTGGAGTGTGTAACCGTGTACGCATAAATTTGTATTACTTGTCAGTGTACTATCCAAGAAACGGCCGCGGCTTCGCCTCCGCGTTCTGGTGGTCCACGGTCACTTGATTTGATTTTGAATGGATATTAATTTTATGAGTATAACATCTATATTTCATTGAAAGGTGAGCGATACATCGCAAGAGCAAAAAATACAGATTTTATAGAAAAACCAATTTACAATCTTCTCGACCTCGGCAGCATTCCCTTTGGCTGTACAGACAATTTATATTTTCTTTTCCCATAAAATTTGAAATTCACAGTGTGAATGTATTGTCACTATCACTACGTCAAGTAGTTTGGTGTCCAATCACTTCACACTTTCACAGGCTATTTGCAATCGGTTCACAGTCCGGTCCTAACGGACGCTGTGCACAGGATAGTAGTGGTAACTCGTTAACTGAACATTTCTGTGCTCTAGAGAGTAACGGCAGCTCTAGCTGTCATTCGCTAACCTAACCGGATCTGTGAACCGGACAATATAGTGATATATCACGAATATGAATCATTGCCTTATCGATTTTTATAAATACATCGTGGACAGACAACCGGCAGCAATAATCGAAGCAACCGTACTGAGATTGTCCTTTGAAAAATCACGGGAAGAAGACCAAGGAAGTGGCCAAGAAGCGTTAATTAGGATGGTGTTAAGTGGTCTGAAATCCCTAAAAAGTTATCGATAAAACTTGTCCAGTGCACAAGTCTACAAACGCAAATTATTTTAGAGGCGTGCCATTTGTGTATCATAAAATGCTTGGAAGCTTACTGTTGAGTGTGATGGAAGAAGAACAAATTTGAAGAGATTTAGTTATCGCCTTTCAACTGTCGAATAGTAGAATAAGTTCTTTCTCTTTGGAGTTTGGATGGTTTTTCTACTGTCTAATAGCCGTTTAGTGATGACTGTATTTGGATAGCTAATAAAGGTCAACGTTGTCAGGTTGGTTGGGTTATCGTAGCATCTGAGTTAAAAATTTAGTAGAGGTCATTTACCACCATTAACACTCGCACAATTTCACGTTCGATTTACATCGGCTTTTCCTGTGCGCCGGCCAGGCAGCGCCAATCACGATCTCGCAATACGCCCATTTCCGGCTGTCTTACAAAATATCAAGCCACTTGCGCCTAATTTAAATTTTTAATTCCAGTTCGAGATATTTTCCAATATCTTCGGTGTATTTGAATTTTCACGTTTGGCTGATCAATACGAGTGCGATTTTAACTTTTATTACATTTCAATAAAAATTAAAAAATGTCTGGGTCGACCCATTTTTATTTCGACGTATTTTATTTCTGATGATCGTTGATCTGTGACTACAATTCGAATGCTGCAGCACGTTCAATGCACTGATTGAAACGAGTCAGCAGCCTGGCAGCCCCAGCAGTTTTCGAAGTGTGTTCCTTCTTTTGATAGCAGCTATGATGTCTTGCTATGTGGAGACTACTCCCGAATCTACAAAATAAGTTTCAGGGTCTGATGATAACTCATGGCAGTCGCAGGATAATGTGGTGAAATTTAGGTAACAACGTTCAACACAGCAGTCCAGCCTACCCAGGCTAATCCTCGAACCCAACAGAAGCATAGCTTTAAAATTGGTCGAATTCAGGCTATGGCAATCGACACTAAGAAGTAAGATGTCTTTACAAAAAAACATTGAGATACTCTCGTGAAAATCTGGAGTCAACTCAGGCAACTAAAGAACATAATCGTAACAAAGGATTCCACTGTGCTGAAAGGGCGAAGTAACCGTGATTAACGCAGTCATCCAGTTATTATCCCACACGGGGCACATCACATTATGTAGTTGTTCCGAGGTCGACCTCGCGAGCAATTAAAAATTTCCAAACGTGAAATCTTAAAACTAACTAGGGGAAGTAATGCAGCGAAATCTAAGCAAAAAATACAGAAACATAAAAAAACCGAGAACAATTAACCACTGTGGATGTGGAGTCTGTGGCAGGACAGCGATTTAGCGCGTTCAGTGACAAAACCTGTTCGGAGGGACGAATGCTGCTCGGAACAAGTGTTTTTTACAGTCACCCTCTTGTGAGACTTCCCTTCCCGTTTTCGAAGAAAATTTATGCCAGCGCTTCTGTAGGAATCAGTTTGTATCGAATTACAATTACTAACATCGTACGTCGACAGAATACGAAAACAAAATTCTGTTCTTCTGTAAATACAAAAAACATGGGTACAGTGCGATTCTACGTGGTTCCCCTTTTTGTTTTCTAACTTTTCAACGCAAACGTTTTCAAGGAATTATTTTGCGTTGTTTTGTAGCCGCTAAAATTCCCTTGGAATACATAGGTAGTTGAAGAAGGTAGGAAAAAAACTAAAGTTTCTGTAAAATTTTTAAGCATTTATTGCGCCTGTGCGGCAGTAGAAATTGTGCGAGTGTTAACCATCAGTAGTAACGTTTAAGCTTCTGACAGATAGCTCGGTTATTCGCCAGCCTAACAGGCTCAGTGGCACAGTCAATCAACGTAGCCCTCCGATTCTCCATATGTTCCATTGCATACATAATGTGCGAACAAATAAAGTGCCCCGATTTTGCAACAGCGATTTGTGCACATATGAACAAACTGCGCGCAGCGTTGAGCGGCTATCCAATGGCAGTGGACAAAGCCCGGCTGCGGCTGAAAGTATTTTCGAGTGACCTGTGCTCTGCCGCCAGTGGGCAGCCGTCTGATACAGTTTATCCATATATGCACAAACGGCTGTTGCAAAATCGGGGCATTTTGTTATGCTTTCTCATTCAGATTGTCGGCCATCGTTTTCAGCCTGCTCGTCAAGGCTTCAAGCACACGAGCTACTACGTAGTAGTACCATTGGGCTGTGGTAATAGCAACTCAAATTCAATCACGGAAAAACTCTATGCACTAGATAGTAGCGGTAGTCCGGTCGCTCGTTCACCGAACGTTATCTTGGCAGTGGAAAGTAGTGGTAGTTCATTCACCCGGTCACCTAACGGGCTCTATGCAGTGGTCAGTAGTGGTAATTCGGTCACTCGTTCACCTGTTTTTATCCAGCACACTGCTGTCATTGCGACATCCATCCTCCAAAATTATTGTCCAGGGAACAATAATTTTAAACGCACGTAGCGCTACTTTACGGAGCAATGTCCCTTAAGGTAGCGCTATGCGCGACAGACTGGTCCCCGTTTTAAGTGCCAATAAGCTCTGCATTTAAAAAAGGACGGAAGGAAGCCGTACTCCACCGCCTATGTTCCCAATGACAATCGACCTATTCTTCCAGATAACAGTCAAAAATAATATATAAAAGTACAGTAGTGCCTACCCCAAAACGAGTGGCTGATCAGCGCTAGGCATAAAAGATTAATCCAGTCCATCCAGAGCTTCGATGGAATCCTTCATAAGGAAAACCATAAACCGGTTATTCTGCATAATTGGAACATTTTTGAACTGCAAAAACTACCGTAACTGAAGGAAGTCAATCTCTGCTTTGTGTTCGTGCGAGATATACTTACCTTTTTGATTGCAGTATATCAGCGTCGTCTTATTTTAGGACTTAGCAACAACTGCCAACCGACAAGAAAAAGATTTTTCTTCCAAGTCTTAGATTATAGTGGGGTTTATGTTTACGTGCATACTCACTACAGACCGATCTGTAGTAACGCTACTGGATGGCTAAAAACGGTCAAAAATGTCCCAAAGAAAACTGCTACATATGTTGTGAAAAGTTTTCTATGACTGCTTTGTCGCTTCTGCTTGTACCGTTGTACGTACCGGCATAAAAAGGCAAATGCAAAAGGAAAAGCGAAACAGAACTCTCTTTATACTTTTGCTCCTGCTTATGTGTACGTATATATGTACTAACATATACTAACACCTAACACCGTAGAAACACGGAGAATCATTCTCAAACTGAGAATTAAAATGTCATCTTCGTTGGTACGGTTGGTGCCTCAAACTGAAGCTTATTGCAGTGGTCGTCTGTGCAAATCAACTGAACAATTTTGACATAATCGAGTAAAAAAGGCGCTTGGAAATAAGTTTTAGACAATAATTCCGGGGTATCCAGGTTGTATTCAGCATTGACTTCTCTCGATGGATTGAGGTGGCAATTGCGGTCCACAAAAGTCCTCACTATAAATTAAGCGTGAACTTGGTTTTATTTGAGGGATTTGGCCCGGTACATAGCATTAAATTCGTTTACAGAGTACTTCCAAATATTTTGTTGAATTGCTTTTTGGCATTATTTAGCCAAATGATTTGTTTACAAAGGCGTGAAATCCATTTTCGCGCGCAACCTCCGGTTCGGGAGTTATGGCTGTTAGAAAATTTAAAAAGGTTTCAGGTGTTTGAAAAGGTTAAATTCATTCAGGTGTACCAAAAGTCTCAGTATGGACCGACCCCTTTCAAAATTTGCACTTAAATGCACATAGCCACAGAGAACGTTTTTACACGGATCCAGACTTCCATAATTTTTTTCGAATTTTAAAATAAATTTTAAAATTTTTGAAATTCATTTTAAAAAAATTTGAAAAATATGCTAGATCAGTGGATCGGTGTAAGGACGATCTTCATGGTTTTGGTACACCTGAATGCATTTAAACTTTTTGGGATTTTCTAACAGTCATAACTAAACCGAACCGGATGTTGCACGCGAAAACGAACTTCACGCCTCTGTATACAAATTATTCGGCTACAAAATACCATAAAGCAATGGAAAAAAGTGTTTAATAGGGCGCGGCAGCAAAAGTTCCCGTGGATGTGTACATATTTAATTCTATGTACCAGGCCAAATCCCTTAATAATGAAAACTGAAGAAAACTGGACTTCAGTTTTCCTTGGCAAAACGTCGGCACGATAACTGGGATTTAAACGGTAGCTGGCAAAGCAGCAGGTTAGCCTTGTTGCATTGATCAGACAAAGACATCACTATGGCCAGTGTGGGAGGCTCCGGTAATAAGTTACAAGTATGCTGCTTTAATTGGCAAAACTATCGTTTTAAACGCGACTGTGACTTCCCGCATAAATGTGGAGAACGCAATGAAAATTATCGTGCAACGAACTGTGCCAAAACGGTTCCCGTGCGAGGTGCGTTAATTTAAAAACGAAGCGATTGTTTTCCCGTTTGCATTCGTTTGTGTTTAATAAAATTTCAGATTATGATGTGTGTGTTGACCATTATTTAATATTTCATTTGGGTTATTGCCGTTCTAGAGTAGCTTTGGGCGAAATTTGTTTGCGTTGTTGCGTCTACGGTTTCAGAATGGCGTGGGATTAAATTATTGTCCCGTCTACAGACCGTTCTAACTACATTGCGCCAGATCCTGTTGGCAAAACGGAACTTCGAAAGCTCTTTTCCAGGAGTCAGAAAAGCCTAGGAAGTGAAAAGGTCGGCCAAGATTACCTTTGCCTCCCGTTTTCCTTAGCCTTTTCACTTCGCCTTTTTCAACTTCACCTTTATCTTTGCCTTTTCTGCCGTGAAAACCTCACCGTCTCTTTTACCGTTCGCAAACGCGGTTTAAATAACCTTTGTGGTCGATTATCACGGTATCATGACTTAGCACCGTCAAACATTTAACCACCGTCAAAAATTTAACCATTTTCAGAATTAATTAATTTATCGTCGGTATCTAACGTTGGTTAAATTATTGCATTAACTGTTTACACACACATCAAACAATCACGGCCACTTAACGTGTTAATTGAGGTTAATGTTACGTCGGCGGTGCTTGCCTTCCCTGTCGGCCCACCATTCAGATGGGATGCCTTTCGGACGCTCTGATGGCCCAGCGGCGGCCATCAGAGCGTCCGAAAGGCATCCCGGCCCAGCGGCGGCCGCCTGCTTTGTTGCTGTTGCGTTTTGCACACGTTTGCTTCGAGCTGTTCTTGTCGTGTCTGCTTGCACGCTGGCGTCACGAGTCTTCATTTATGTATTGCTTAGTTCTTGCTCAGAACGTCGCTGATTGTGTTCTATATGAGCAACCATTGACTCGGTGTGCAACTGGTCATTAAAGGTCACTGATGTTGCATACATGGCAACTCAGTATTTACTCACACATAAACTTTAATTGTTTGATAGACAAATAAATGTACGTACTACGACGTACTCATCTTGCTATCGAAGCCAGAAAGATGTGCGATGAACTGGCAGCGACCTGGGTTTACGCTTATTTTACTGAATGAGAGAACCCAGTTGTAATAATTTTAGCAAATTCCCATGAAGATGGCACAACCGTTTCTTGCTCTTATGACTCTCCTAATGAGGCGATATCTATTTGTAATTTCTTTGGTGTTTTTACTTGTTGTAATCGTGATTCTCACTTACTTAATGCTCTTCAGTGGAAATGTCAAATCTGGTAAGACACGAACTGTACCCCGTTCAATGGAACATATATAAACACATATTTCGTTAATGGGATTATAAATTTTAATAGAAGGTCCTTTCTTATTTCCGCTGTAGTTTAGTTTGTTGTTAAATTTCTGTGACTGCCTGATTCAAATTTCATTTACTGTATACTCGTTGCAGAAAATGACTGCGAATGCGCGACGACCCAACAACGATCCGCGGGTAACCAGCAAACTGCCAAAAGAGCTGCCAGTAAGTCAAAGCTGCCACTTTCTTTGGACTAAGAGCATTCTGAACTTCGATAACTGAAACGCTTGCTTCGTAGATGTTAGTCAAAACCAACTATCTGAGACCCTGGCTGTCGGAACGCCACCTGCTTTACCGTGGAGTAAATATGAAATCTCCCGTACAGCATCCTTCTCGTTTCCTTACAAGGACTTCCGTGTTCTCGTGTACGAACGAGGCCCTGTCGCCGTCGGAACCACCGAACCATCGGTATATTACTTTTCCCCGGCGCTAATCTTGAACACATCCAGCGCGAATACCTCGTTCAATTGGTTCGAGCAGCGCTTTGTTGTGACCTTTTCGCTGATCATGTACAACAAGGAGTACACGGACCACATCAAAACAAAGATCTTGCAGATCATCAATGTCCAAGTTAAGGACCAAAACCTGCATGTGATGCCCATCGAGGAAATGCGCCTGATCAGTTCAAACCCAGAATGGGATTCCGAGATCGAAGTGGACACGACCTGGCGATCGTATAGCAGCCAATCCGACAGCAGTGAATTTCGCATTTTCTGCACTAACGGGTTCAAATGTCAGCGTTTAAAAGAAGGTATCGAAAAAAAAGGCAGTGAGTTTATTGGCGATATAGAAGTCCATTACGCGCTGGAATCACAGCGGAGTGCGGCGCGCCGCCTAACGCTGACGGCCGAGCACATCCAAACCGGGAAGATGTTTACGGAGCTAGAGCAACGTTATGCCGGGTATGACGAAGTGTATTTGAATGGGGAAGATTCCAAGCGTATGCAGCAAGAAATCGCCAGCAACGTCATGGCCGCGGAGATTGCCGATAGTGAATACGTGAGCGGTGAGCAGTCACCGACGTTACTCAAGTTTATCGAACAGGCGCTCAGTCTGCAGGAAGTCAGTTCGGCCAAGTTCACTCCGGAAATGTGGAAGTCAGTGTACTGGAAAGACGAGAACTCCCGTCCGGATAAGATCACCCGGGAATACCAGAACTCTTTTGACAAGCAGGACCGCGAAACGCAGAGCCGGATTATGGATTACTTTAAGAAAGCGGAGAAGGAGAGCTGGTGCGCGAAGACGGGTGGTGGTGTCAGCGAAGTGGCTTCCGGGAACTTGAAGGTGTGCTCCGACACGAGCAGCTCATCGGCTCAGCGAAACGAGATGGAGAATTATTTGCGAAATATCAATGAAGGACGGAAAGCAACGGAAATGCAGGGCGAGAAGTTTGTGCCGAAAGAAATGTCCTGAAACGGACGAATATTGCCAAGCTCAAACAGACCAGCAATTTTGGGTACAGTTTCGGTAAGCAGCTATAAAAGAATTTGAGGAAAGTTCACTTACAGAAGCGGTTATATGCGGCAAAAGGAAAAATTGTCCCAAAACTTATGTCGTACATTACCCATCCATGGTTCTAAAATTTGAACGCTATTACATTTTGCAACACTCTGTTTTTTGCTATTTAGATAAAAATTTCGAAAATCATCGGCGTTATGAAGACCAACGTGAACTTCCTGGAAACAGTGGTTAATACGTCTCAAACAAACACCACATCTACAACGCCGCCCATCGGAGAAGGAGCTCCCGCTGGCCGGAAACCCTTATCCGATATTCGTGAAGTATTTCACGTCCGCGTCGCCAGCTCCGCCATAACGTACAGGAAGGAAGAAGCAGCTAGTATCTGCCAGTCAGTTTTCAATGCGACGCTAGCGAGTTTAGCGAATATGCGCGATGCATGGCTAGACGGCGCTGACTGGTGCGAAGTGGGCCATATACTGGAAGAAAGGACCTTAGCGTATCCCGCACGCGATTGTTTGCGACCAGCGACGAGCAGCTATCGCGGGGATATTTGCTACAAAGATGTCGGGCAGATTAACAGTTATGTGGCTGCTGAGTTTGGCCAAGATTATAATATGCAGCTGTCCGGGTTTAATTGCTTTGGTATTAAACCGCTGAGCGGAGGTTCGAGAATTTACGGTGGCTATGAATTATTAGTCTTACCGTTCAACCAGCACAGAATAGGACAATATCAGCACACCATTAAATGAAAGCGAAGTACCAGATTGTTAAGAAGGTTTAACCAATGCCGTACGGCTTACCCTTTAGCGAGTCAAAGTTAATTTTGTGGTCCATGAAATCCGGCGTTTCAAAGCTTACCATTCGCAGGCAGTCACAGCCTCATTTAAAATGCCGGTGTTGTGGCAAGAAAAGCACTTAATTCGGACAGTAGACCACAGTCCATGGGATGAGAGATCTTGTTTCTAGGATTACAAATTACCCTCGCGACTTCAGGACGTCCACGATCTGCATCACTTTCTGTACTGTACTCATAATTGCGAGGTCAATATTGTGCTGCCGTGTTTGAGGTTAATTACAGTACTTAATTTCGACAATAATTATTTATGATGAGCTAACCACTTATGGTTAGCTGCAATAGCGTAGTACTTGATATAAGTTCTTAAGTAAATGCGAACGATAACATCATACTAACACAATAATACAAGGACTTGCTATGAAAAAACGGATTCCGTCGATACTGTGAAATCGCGGATTTATCGCGCATCAAACGAAATAATCTTTTCGTGAATGCTAATGCTTTGCTAACAACTGAGCTTTAAATTTTGTCCGTTGATACTGCTCTGCCAACTGATAATTCATTTATTTGACATTTCATTGGAAATTAATTAATGTTCTTTTGCAATCTCCTCGTGCATTATGGGAGGCATAATATCTTGTATCTTTGTGAATTTCGTTCTCCCTATTGGACTGATGTTGTCTGCCGATCTTAGAAGAGGTTTGTCGTAGATCAGAAGTGGTAAATGTAGAAAGGTCACAACAGCGCTGTGTTGGTTTCGTGCAGTCCGTATTGGAGTTGGTAAACTGCAGTTGAACTACAGTATGTTAAGTATCTGTGTGACTGTGTGATGTAACTGAATTTCTCATTTTTTAGTTTTCTCTCTGCAGTGCTACGGGTGCAATAATTACGATCACAATAGCGGTCGAGGCGGTCCCATTCCGTGTTTAAATAAATCAAAAAGTGCAGATATGCATACTGAGAAGAGCCTCGCGGAAATGAGGATTCTGGATTGTCCGGGCAACTGCGCCGAAGTTGTGACAGGATTTACAGACGAGCCAGGGTCCCGTATGTATGGTGTTAACAACCTAAAAAAAATTAACGGACAGCAATCCAAACTGGCCAGTATGCCTTAAATGCAGGCTTGCGTGGAATAAAATAAACTTAAAACATCGACGCTGTTGTTGGCTTTTTAACGAGATTTTTTAAAAATAACAGGAAATAACTCTGGTGTTATCCACAAAAATAATGTACTGCAACAATATGCTGACGCAGCACACTAAACAGTGCAGAAATTAGTTTGTAGGCAAAAATAAGGTGCGTTACAAAATAAAAGCTACGAGAGCGAAAAGTAGTGCCCAGAGTGCTCAAAACTGATTTTATCTGATTATCTGGATGGATTATCTGGACCGCAAAATTAAAAATCGTGCCCAATGCAAAACATTTGCTAACTTAGCTTTTTTTCGTAAGCATGTCCAGAAGCGGTAGTCCTTTGCTTGAAAAATGGCAAGTAACAGCGAACCCATGTTCTTTCAGTGAACAAGGCATTCAGTGGTTCTTTCAGCGCATTGCCAAGGCATGCGTTACTGTTATGGTGGTGATTTGAATTTTGAACTAATCCAATTTTTTTTTCAGAGAAGCGGATATTAAGGTCCTGCCAGGACGATAGCTTCAGTGATATGCCTCTGTATGTATCACCAAAGTCAAAACTGAAAGCCAAATAAACAGGCAAAAATTATATCAATGACCGGTATTTACGCATGATTGTTACCAACGTTCGTGCACATTCACGAAAAACTGCAGTTTTGCGCACTCCCGATTCCCGAACACTTTTGTCGTTTTACTTCATCTAAAACGACATAGCCAAAAGGTTTTGCACATATACAAAGGTGTAAAAACTGGAAAAACGGGCAGCTCGTTATAATATAGGACAAAGTGCCAAAGGTTTAGCTCAGTGATACAAACGACTAATTCACGTGCGGTTGGCACTAAAACTGTATTTCGTCTGTTTCAACATTGTTTTTATTTTCAATGACTTTGTAATGTTTTTCAGATTTTTACACGACAAGCCGCTGGGATGTTATCGAAAGGACGACTGCAACCCTCCTGGCCCATGTCAACATGTTTACTGTATTTGCAACACCCCTCTCTGTAACAACAAGACCGTACTGGAGGTCATTAAATCGGACGCAGACGCATCCGCAATAAATATGTGCCTTTTCTTGCTCTTACTTTCTGCTAATGTCTTTATTACCTGATTTAAGAATATTTTTACGAAACAGTTGTGTTTTTTCGCGAATTTGTTTTGGCTTGCCGCGGACAAGTTATCAGGTATAACGTGCACCGTTTCCTGAGTTGTTTCCTGCAGAAGCATGGCAAGTAAAGCATTAATTTTAATTCAAAATTAATCAAATTTTAATTCAAATTTAGCCCGCGGGTTACTTTACTATGCATGTTGTTCCGTTAATTAGAAATAATCTGCGATCCCATTAATATGTTGACAAAGATAAAGCCCTTGATATCCAGCGGAAACTAGTATATACTGTACTTATCGTCCTTATATATAACGCATAGCAGCAAATTATCGAAATTTCTCAGAAAATATATTACAAAATATACAACAGTAATTAATATGTGCCTTTTCTCGCTCTTACTTTTTCTTAGTGCCTTTAATAATTAATTTAAGAATATTTGAGAAAAGATTTCGGGTTTTTTGCGAATTTTATTGGCAGACCGCGACAAAGTTATCAGGTATCACGTACAACGTTAGAAAATTTCAGTGGTGTAGAAGGCATTGTTTTATGTCGAAAGGATGCGTTTGCGCTCTCGATTAGTAACGTGCTCGTTGCAGAGCGTGATCTGGTGTCAAAATTCCTATGTCTCACACATTGGTGTTGAATTTGTCGGACGAAAACAAGTATCTAATGGTAGAAAAACATCGCTTTTAGACAGAGCAAATGAGAAATTAAAATGCGCACGGAGAATTATCTAACGCCTCGGATACGAGTACTAAATAAAGCAATAAATAATTAATGCACTGCAATGTATTTATAAAATACTACGAGTTCTTCGCTGCCTCGCCACCTGTAAACCGTTACAAATTTGCACCGAGCGTGAAGTACGACATTAATTAATACTGACATATTATTATTACGGTTAACAACCACGATACCATCACAGAGTGATTAATAATTTGCGTTCTCTACCTGAAAATGCATAAGCTGAAAAAGTTCGAGACATAGGAAAACTCGAATGCTGTAGCTAGAATATGGTTCAGTGTTGCTAAGCGGATTTATTTATGGTAGCAAGGTCATCAAAAACCAAAAGAACACAATTGCTTACCTAATAAATGTTACGAGGATTAAGTGGTGGTCTGAAACAATTTTTTTAACGGTGACGGTTTATCCGAAGACGTAGATGTGCAAATGTAGCACGCCCTGTACTATTTACATCACGCTGTAACAGTACCATCGTCGACCACACAGCTCAAAGTTTCTAATAAGGCATTAAAAATGATGACACCGCCAGTGATCCACCGAATTCCATGCATCGCATTATCTGTATTAGCGTTAGCAGTGCCAATCCACGGAGGCCGTGAACAAGCCATTGCCTCCGGACTGCCGTTAATATCCATCACCAACTGGCACGGGGAAGGGTACGGTGATTTACAGATTCGGGGCGATAAAAGTGAATACACAACAGTACCCAGCCATTACTGCTACATGAGCCAGCGGAATGACCTTTGGGTATTACAGATGATCGGGTGTTGGTGGTCGGTACGCGGGGATTCGATGACAGTTATTGCGCTTTCGTGGTCAAACACGAGCGCAGCGTCCCCAAAGTGGGCTCCTTGACGTTGTGTCGGTGTGATCAGATCCTGTACAATGCCAGATCCCCCAAGGATTCCTATAGCGGACCCCCTCCTCAACCGTGGCAGGCCACGGATTCCAAGCTGTTCTCCGTCAAAGACGGATGGGTGGATACGACGCTGGAGTACATTGAAAGTGAGGTCTGTGCTCCCGGTCCGTGCTGTTACGAGAACGTGACAAAAACTCCGGATTTTCCACCTGGATTCGTTCCGAATTACAGGAAGAGCGCAACAACAGGTAATGTTTTTTTGCTGTTGCGATCTTGCTGAAGATTTGTTCTGTTCCTTGCTATAATACGTTACAGCGGTTTGACTACCACTTTAATTTTGAAGTGCTCTAATTTTCTGAAGTGATGAGTTAGCCAGTACTTAGCTATTCTTGCACATAGCAAGCACAGCTGAAAACGTCAGCGCCGTTTTTCTGCAAAAATTCGCAGCGAATGTAGCAGCGCCCATGCAATTGTTAGGATTCCGTTAACTTCAGTTTTGTGTTTAAGGAACGACATTGTCCACGACGACAACCACAACAAGTCAAGAATCTGTGGACGAACAAAGTAAGTCTTAAATTCCTGCAATTCAACTATTCTGTATCTTTATACATACTTCACAACACGTTGATTCTTAATTCGTAATTGGTGTTTCCAGAACAAGGACTGAGCACCGGAATTATTGTTGCCATTGCCGTTGGTGGTGGAGTAGGTAACTTCTACATAAACCGATGTACACTATAGTGCTTGTGTGATCAATTGTTTTTCTGCTTAGCTTGCCTGTATATGCTGTGGAGCTGGGATCTATTACTACTACCGACGTCGAAATTTAAGCCAACCAAAAAGAGGCCGACTTCAGCCAAAACCGAAAAAGAAAACGCCTAAACCGAATGCAATTGCGTGTCGATAAAAAACTTAGACTTGCTCGCAAAAAGTAGACAGCTATTTTACACTGCTGTCCTTCAAATTTTCTGTAATTTTAGCTTTTTTTCAAGTTCTACATCACCATTTTATTTATCTGCAATACTTATAATTGCGACAAAACATTAACCGACAAAACGAAAAATAAACCTCTTTTGGCGTATTGTACTTGTGTTTAGCAATAGCAGTTCTACTGCACGGTCCGCCCTTGACTTACAACTTATCACTGAAAGGAGAGCGTATTAAAGCTGTTCTATAATATAATTTTTTAAAAGTCTTCGCGGCAAAAATTAACGGCTCAGAAAGAAATGGAGTCCTTACAAGACGTACACTGTAATAGCCCGATGAGAGCAGGACGAGCCTTGTCGTTAGGTGTCCGTGTCCTTTCATTTTAGCGTTCCTAAGCAACACGTCGGTCAAAGAGGTTAAAAGTCCAACAGGCCGATCAGTTTTTGATGCCACCAAATCCGTTCACTGTACACTTGACTGTACCGTTTACTGTCCCGCTCCGTGTTGCGAAGCGGGCCTAAAAATATTTTCTTAATTTTGTAAGAATACAGTCAAGAAATAATCCACTTCCTGCGTATCGGTATGGAGGACTTTGCTAGCGGTTGAATGCAACGTCAACCGTAACGACTGCCAGTGCAAGGTTTGATTATGACAATATAACGCTAAATGCAAAATATACCGATTAATTAACATGTTATCCTACTGGTAACTATCCGACGGTTTTGGCACCACCCTTAAAGTGTCCAAAAGATGTACCGCAGAATTTATCCTGTTTGCGAAAAGTAAGGTTGGAGCGTTGTGAATAGTAAAGTGTTCTTGGAAAGCCGCGTACGTATCGCTGACGATCCGGTCCATTTTGCTCATGCAGTGAATATCAGCATTCAGGAACGCGAACTAATAATTATTATTCGTTAAGATGTCGAAGTGCTGCAATATGTTTGACCAAATCCTTGCAGTGTTACCCTGAAAAGCTTCACAACCCGTTTTAGTATTTCGTTCGAAGACAAGGAAACGGCTCTGTCGTACAAGAAATTATAAATAGAATTTTGGTAGGTTGCGTGCCCCAACAGTTGGCACCGAATCCCCATTTAACGCGCCCAGTTAATCTGCTGCACGGAAGAGAAATGTCTTATTATACAGTTACACTGTGCCAGATCGTCGCACGCTACCGTGCGAAGCTGAAAGAATGATGCGGTTCTTTCGTGACAGATAGGAGGCAGATTCTGTTCATCTCTTGCTGCGCCATTGCATTTTGCCATTATCAGTGTTTCCTGCGTACTGATATGACACGTTTCCGTTTTTGGTAAGCTTTCATTAGCCACATCAGGCCAATGAGGCTGTACCGAAAGCAGAAAGTCTCATGTAAATTCTGCACTTCTACTGAACCACCTGGACGCATTAGTGAAACTAGAACGAGAAAAGCAAGAGCAAAACGTCGCGATCATGATGACTATGACAAAATTAATCTGTTATTGTGCTTTTATAAATGCATGCATAGTATTTATTGTACGTATCCTTACTCGCATTCAATTCAGCAGGGTATAATTATATTGCATATTAAAGTAAGTATGCATTGTGCACATGCTGTAATTTGAAGTAATACTCGTACACATTATAATAATTGTAATACACATGCACATTATAATCACACATTACTCGTACACATTATTATTAAGTATTATTATTATTCTTAAGTACAGTACATATTGTAAAACACTGGTTTTGCGCGTTCCACATGTGCGATAGAAAAGGACGCTGTTGTCACGGAGTGTTAACGTTTTCAGGAAGGGCAGTTACAATACAGTACATAAATTTTGCTCAAAACCTTACATAGTTGACGTCGGGGTAGCTTTTGCGCTATGTAAAGCAAAAGTGAAAGCTGCATTTTTGTGCTACTACTTACTTCTACGAGGTACTAATCGAGCATGAATGACGCCGAAGCTCAAAAGAAGCCATCTTTGGACGGACAGCCCAACACTGGACAGGGCCGTATCTGGGCTGTACTTGTTCTTGCTTCGCTGCTAAATTTGCTCTTCGTCGTTCTTTTGGTTTATTTTGAAACGAAGCCTTTGAAAGAACCAGTAGGTAAAGATCACAATTCGATTGTATGCATAAATACGTCTGGGCTATCAAATCCAGTATACAAGGCTGTTTGCGTGCTGCAAAACTGATAAAAAAAAATGTCGATACGGTTGCAACGAAAAGTCCTGTTGACAGTGCTTAAAACTAATTTTCCTGGTTTAATATCCTTGTTATCGCGAACTTTTAAAACGTGGCCTGTTGTTGCGAATGGAAAAAATGTTTTGAATGGCTTATATCCTTTTCATAGCACCATAGCATCTTCGGTAGGACATTTGGGTTATCTGGTTTTTGTGTTTGCAGAGCCAGTTAAGCAGTGCAGCGGAAATGTTACAGCTCCAGGTAAGCTGTTTATTTTTTTAGCTTCGGTGCTCCAATTGGAATAATATTATTAATTCACCCTCTTTAATAGTTTCGAAAATTCTCGGAAGCGTCAGAGCGGGAGCAGCCAATGCGTCACAAACCAACGTACTGCCGACGGCGCTCTCGTGGGGGAAATATCAAGTGACACATTCCTACGTCATGACCGTCCCGTATTACCACCACAACGTTCTGATCTACCAGCAAACCAAGGGCCCGCTCAACACCAGCACCGATGGCCGCGAGAAGTACTACTACCAACCCGCTCTCATGATGAACACCGAAAAGACCCGCGTCTCCATGAATCCGTTCACGAACCGTTACGAACTCCTGCTGCCAGTTGTTCTCTGGAACGAAGCGTACGAAGACCATATTCGCCAGCAGATTATGGATCAAACCGGGAAGAACGATTTCCTTTTGAGCGTCATTCCCATGGAAGAGGTCCGGGTGAAATCGGTCCGACCGAAACCACAAATCCAGCTGGTGACACGGTGGATGGCCTTCGCCAGTCAGCCGTCGGTGGTGACGTTCCGGATTGTTTGCAAGGACAACGAATCGTGCGTGGAACTGCTGCAGCAAATACGCAGCAGTCCACAACAGTTTGTCGGGGATTTGCGGGTCTTCTACAGTCTGGAGAGCCAAGGCAGCACCGGCAAGCGTATGACCGTCACCGCGGAGCACGTACAGCACAGCTCGATGTACGCCGCCATCAACCAGAAACTCCCCAATAAAGACCCGATTTATTTGACATCGGACGATGCGAATACGCTGCAGCGGGAGATTATGAACAACGTCCAGGCCACCGAAGTGGAAGACGAGGATTTCGTCAGCGATGCCAGCCAACCCACCTTGATGGGCTTGATCAACGAAGCGCTGGGGCTGGCGACCCGCAGTTCCAAAGATTTCGAAGAGCACATGTGGGATTCAGTGTTTTGGAACGATGACAATGCACGCCCGGATAAGGTCACCAAACGGCTGAACGATGTCGCGCGGAAGCTGGATGCGCAGTCGCGATCCAAATTGCGGACCGAGCAGGAGAAAACCCAAAAGTTTGGCGTGCAAGCTGACATCAGCGGGTCGTACAAAAAGGTCACCGTCGAAGCGGGCGCGAATTTCGGGCAGGAAGCGGTCGAGCTTACTAATAAAGAAAAAGAGGAATTGAAGAGGGCGGTCGAAGAATCGAAAGGCAAGTCCGTGGTCGAGGGAGAATTATTCGTCCCGAAGGCGATGGAGTTAAAGCGTATTAACAACGGTAAAACGAGCATCGCATAAAAGCAATCATTTCAAATACATTGGCAGAGTATGGCTTTCATCATAGGAAATATTCGATCTGGCGCAGCATTAACCACCACCATCGTTCGCGTCTCCAAAGCCAAATCGCAAATAAGCGATATTATAAAGATCATTGATTTACACGGGGAGAACGCGACAGCAGACCAGATCTTCGTGGCCGCGGACCGTCAGCCGGAAGTCTTTCACGTGCGCGCCAAAGAAAGCTTTATCTTGTTCACGCGTGAAGAAGCCATCGAAATTTGCCGACAGTACAGCGCGAAGCTGGCCTCCGTGGCGCAGGTGGAACGCGCCTGGGTGGAAGGAGCCGACTGGTGCTCGGCGGGCCATGCGGACGATAACCGTGTGGCCTATCCGGCGCATGTCTGCTACACGTACGCTAAGAGCTTCGACGGTAGCACGTTGCTGCCGCTACAAGAACGCTCGGCGTCGTGCAACGACGAAGAAGCCCATAAGAAATCTTTCGTCTATCAGACTAATACGAAAGACGAAGATGGCGGGTACAAGGAGTCCTGGCGCTTTGGTGTAAACTGCTGGGGTTTGAAACCCAATTCAAAAGTAAACGTACAGCATGGCGGCAGGATGCTGCAGGTGTGGTACTTTAACTCAACCCACTACAGCCAGTTCCGCGCTTGACAGCGATAGAAACCCCATAATACTCAGTAACGAAAAATCACCGGGTCGACGGTGTGTTATGTCTGTGAACATTCATCGTAGAAATCAAGACGCACCACGAATGACCAGTGTTCGATCTTTCAATAGCATATCTGACTTAGCTAGGTTTGAACTTTGCATCCGAAAGAATATACGACTTCCAAAGAAGTTACAGAGATGTTAGTTCTTACGCAAAGGTAAATAACAAACCGATAGCCGGGGCAGTTTGTGCATTCGTATATTATTGCAAAAACGAGAGTTAAAGAGCAACTGAAGGGGATCGATCCAGAAGAAGGCGTAACATCGTTCCACAGCAAATACAAGTACGATTATTGACCGTAACTCAATCAAATCCTTCAAACATCTACTTTGCAGAGGCGTAGAGGCTTCAGGTTCAAGGGGTGTTTGTCAAGTATCAAAATCTGCCAATGAGTAAGAATTACCCCGGTACCGTAACATGCACGGCTACTTGCATGTGGTGTCTCCGATTTCTAGCCTTGAAAAGAACTGAAAAGAGAGAAGACGATTTGTGAGAACCTGGCATGCGATGTGAAATCGATTAGCTGAAGCTCATCCCGAAAGTCTGTTTCCACGGTGAGTGCAACAACTCAGCAAAAGATTGTGATGTTACCAGTATGTGTACGTACGTACCTGTACTAAACCAAGTAAAATTTCGCTTTAAGGCTTTAACCAACATTTTGTTGCGCCATTACGTAAGTACTACTCCTTACTATTTGAGCTGTACTTATCAGAAGGGACGCTGTAGTAAAATAATAACATCAGAAGAATAATGAGTAACACAGAAAATCCAAAAGTCGTATTTCCTAAAGTGTACATTGCTCTTGCCATAGCTTTAACTTTAAATGGAATACTTTTACCCCTTGTAATAATCGCAGGAACAAAAGGGTTCAGGAGTCAACCTACCACAAAAGGTTAGTCCTTTTCTAATCTGGAGGTACTGACTAGCTTTGTCAGCGGTCAAAAAGTAAATGTTGTTGTTCTTCTGAACTCTTACTGTATTGAACGTAATCCTTTTTTTGTAGATGCGGCCCAATCCCACCGTGGGACTGCGCAATCCCAGTGCCCGAGCCCACAGCAAAACCAAAGCTTACGCGGTACGTGCATAATATAAAGTGTGTGTTGACTGTTTAGGATAAATTATAGGATCGCTTTCCGCCACAATATTGGCCAAAGCGCCATGGAGCATTCTGTGTTCACAAAAACTGGGAGAGCCAGCGCAACGTATGTTACCCATAAATCGCTTCTTTGAGCGAAGACTTTAATTTATACCGTTTATAATTGGTGACTCAAGTGTGCGTCAGGATGGTCAGTTAAGTGCTACTCAGCCTGACTAATATCCTGGCAATTCAGAAGAAAGAGAACGATTTCCTAATACGTACAACTTCGAGCATACATAATCCTTAATTATCCAGTTATTAAAATTCGCTTTGCCTAATGGTGATAATTGGTTTTTTCCTCAGCGGGCGCGTCTGGAAATGCTGTCGCAGCATCGGGCAACACGACCGGAAGCACTCTATCTGCCCTCACGTGGGGTCGCTACGAAGTGGTCCATTCCTACGTGATGGTGGTCAACTACTCGCACCACAACATCCTGATTTTCCAGCAGAATAACAACACCAAGAACGACTCCACCTTCGTGTACTACTATTACCAACCAGCTCTTTTCTTGGACCTACCTAAACTCGGCGTTATCAACAACCCCTTCACCCAGAAATACGAGCTGCATCTCTGGGTTCTGATGTGGAATCAGGCGTACGAAGAGCACATCCGCCGGAAGATCCGAGAACAAGCTCCCACCACCAACTTCGTCTTGAGCATTCTGCCGATTGAGAGTATACGCGTCAAGCCGGGCGGACTGGCCAAGCAGTACCAGTTTGTGGACCGCTGGATCTCCTACACATCGCAACCGCACTACGTGGTTTTTCGGATAATCTGTCAGAATAACGAGACATGCACAGAGACCGCACAGAGAATCCGCGAAGCGCCGGGTGCGTTTATATGGGATCTCCGCGTGCAGTACAGTCTGGAAGGACAGACCAGTGTCGGGAAATCGATTGCTGTGCGAGCCGAGCATGTCCAGCAGACATCGCTGTATGCGGCTATCAACCAGAAGCTTCCGCAGAAGAACCCGGTGTATCTGATTTCGGCCGATGCGAATAAACTTTCCACGGAGATCGCCAATAATATTCAGGGAGTTGAAATCGAAGACGAGGACTACATCGCGGAACAGAACGCTCCTACACTGATGGCACTGATCAACAAAGCCCTGCAGTTTGTCTCCAATAACACCAAGGATTTCGATAATGCCACGTGGAATTCGGTGTTCTGGTCCGATGACAACACGCGCCCCGATAAGGTCACCCAGGATGCCAACGAACTGTACTCCCAACTGGACTCCACTTCGAAGTCAAAATTCAAGCAGGAAGTTGCCAGCTCCAGCACCGAGGGATTCAACTTCAAAGTAGGCGCAACCTTTAGCGGAAAAGATTCGTCGGGCAGTGGTTCCGTGGGTGCCAATTCCGAAAACACCCAGTCAGCATTAAGTGAAAAAGAAGTGGACAAACTGAACAAACTGCTGAAGGAAGCCAAGACCAAGAGCGAATGGCAGGGAGAGAAGTTCGTCCCGAAACCAATTGAGGTCAAACGCATGAACACCGGGAATATCAAAGTCGGAACGCAACTATCGACGACACAGTTACGGGTGAAAGTCTCGACGTCCATATTGACTGACTCGATCAAGCTGGTGGATATCGAGCCGGGTGAAGTCAGCAACATCTTTACGACAAAACCAGCTGGCAAGGAAGTTTTCCTGGTAAAAGCTCAAAACGATTTCACCCGGTATAACAAGACGGAGGCCGCCAGTGTCTGTAAAACCCTTAACGCTGTACTGGCTAGTGTCGAGCAAATGCACGATGCATACGCTGCCGGCGGAGAATGGTGCTTCACCGGGCATACGAGTACGACAAATGTAGCGGCGTACCCGGGGACTGTTTGCCATAATTACTACAAGACCACACGGAATAACGCGACGGTGTACCTTTTGCGGACGGTCGTCTGCGATGGGATGGCGCAATACAGAAAGACATTCCTCTACAAGACAGCAGGGACACAGGGATCTGTTACTGTGGACGCGATGCGGTTTGGAGCTAATTGTTGGGGTTTGCGGCCGGCACGCGGCGAGAAACTGAAATATAAAAGCGATACACTGACGGTGATGCCGTTTAATAAGACACATTATAGTCAGTTTTATGAGTAGAAACGTTTTATTTGTGACTTCCTTTGCAGTGTAGTAATTAGCCTTTTCATATTGAAGCCAAAGCGAACTGTGATATCACATAAAATATGGAAATGTCATTTTGGGTCAAATATCACACGAGATACGAGCAGCTGCAAGATCGAACTTGTGCCGAGGGAGAACTGATGCTCAAACTGTAGAATCGACAGGGAAACATTTACTGTGGTATACATAAGCTGTCCGCGCAACCCGACAGAGCAAAAGTTCCATGATCTACATTGCAACCAAACCAATTTCCAACAATTATTGCAACTCACGGGGCAGAAAGCGCAAACAAATTAAATGTATCGAGGAACAGCTTACAGATACATGATAACAAAGTAAAAAATTTACGACGAAATTCTAAAAAAATTAGCACGTGCGTGATGGAGTCGGCTGACACAGAGGTGTAAGATGCGACTAACACAATCCCGATTCCTTCATACCTTTTCATATGTAACTCTTCCAATGGTTTACGCATCCGCTTCAGCAAAAATATAGCTAGAGGCTAAAGTCAGTGCTGTAACATTATACTGCTCTCCTAAAACAACAATTTATTATTTATGATACAAATAAATCAATATCAATTCCACCCTAGTAACAATGTACTGCAAGTATAACGAAAATGTAGTAGCTCCGGAGTGCACTTTCTATAGATAGCTGCAGCTCACTGGAATGTGTGAAATAGGTCCAAATGCGGAAACGATCTGCGTCATAAATATCTACGATTAGTACAGTACGTGATAGACAACGATAAAAGCTTACTGCAGACTGCTGATTCCGCCTTTTACTGCAATTATGACCTCATTTCAAGTTTCTTAGCATCTGTACCTTGCTAAATAATCGGAATACTTGCAAAAACGGCTCTGATTTTGAATTTTCAACGTAAGTATTTACGATAATTCAGTTTGGTAACGTCACTACATACGTATGCCTATTCAGAACCTCGGAAAACACGGAAGTTCTTCTTGAGCTTATGGAGCATATTGCATATAATAACAATAATATCTACACTTTTTACACGAGCAGCCGCAGTTACCTGTTATGAATGCAGAGAGTATTCTCCTGAACAACCAAAGCTGGTATGCCCTTCATGGTACGAGACCAGGAACTTGAGCGCTTATGTCAAGACAACCTGCCCTGGCTCAAGTTATTGTGCTGAAGTGTCGTACGAAACGGATCGTGGCACAAGTAGGCAACAAACTCAAGAACATTGTAAAGTTTGCATTTTACAGTATTTAAAAGTAAATGTAATCATTCAAAATAGCTGTGTGTTTTTAGTCTTCAGAATACAAATCAGTACAGAAAAATATGAGGTAACCAAACAGGGAATGTCAGTATCACAACAGAAGTAGTTTATCCACTTTTCCACTCGCTGCATTGTTTCAATGACTGAAACCCGTTTCTGGTGGTCTCCAAGGACAGCGGCTGCCGAAGAAATTCGTCTGAGCGAATCTGTCCAGTGTGATTACGCAGTCGCTCTGGCGCATTAAACGCTGCAAATACAGCTAAGGCTGCGAATACATGTAAAGCAGAAACCTAGCGAACAAACTACCGAAACCAGAAGGAGCCAAGCACGAACCAAGTATACTAGCCTTAAATTCTGACATGTTTTCGGGAAACGGGGAAAGTACGTGAACCCGTTGACGGGCATTGGTGTCTGGAGGCGACAAGGTATTTGGGATTTTTTCCCCAGCGATCGGCAGCAGTTAATCGTTATCCCATAACGTAATAAGCAACAAGGGAGTTTAAAGCAGCAATAAAAACATAATTTGAACTTTTGTATTAAGTTAATTAAGAACAATAGATGCGCGAAAATCGCTAATTTTGAACTTTCTGACCTCTCTTAGGTTTTGCTAATTAACTAATTAGTGGATGAATAATTAAACCCAAGATAAATCAATAAGGTACCACTGACAACGCTTTATTCGAAAATGTCTAATGCGGATTCTAAAAGTTGAACCATAGATGGCCACAGTCCGTTAAAAACGTGTGTCGCCTGCCGGCACTATTGCCCATGAAGAGTTATGAATACAAGGGCGGGTGCACTTTCGACAGATACTGTACTTTTCATTACGTAACGGAATAAGTTACTGTCGGTTCGGACGCAAAACATGCGCCATGTGGTTTTGGTTGTTGAAAGCTGGCAGAAAATGGGGCTCCAGAACGGCACCCCGGGCGGTCGTCATGGCAGTCTTGATGCTTTAGTTCTGATTGTAATTCTACCGCCAGTGTATGACACTGTACGTAGCACTGTGAAATGGCAGCACACTCTGCTGCTCTCTACCTTCGATACCGAATACCGCTTGGGCAAGCAAAGCTATGGAACCGCGCAGCTTTAAAGAAACATGCGAATTTAGAGTTTTGACCAGTCTCGGGCGATTGCAAACTGTAATGACCAAATTGGTGATGTTGACCTTTGAGACAGCCTTATTTAGATTACATCCTGATCCGGCCGCTAATGTGTTAGAAAAAGTGCGAGTGACCACTAATATTTGGTTCGGCGCCAATCGCTTTTGCAGCTGGATCATTCCCGCCGCTCTCCCTATACCCACCACTGCGGCCGCACCAGGAAACGTGCAAGTCCGAATGATGCACGCAGTGTAAAGGCGGCTCGGCGTGTTCATCAAGGCAGCAAGTGCAATGTTAAATTGCACAAAGGCTGCTTCGTGAAATTCCGTATGAGAGAGTGATGAAAGTTTGCGAAGGCATATTGTCAGCATCGCTTGTTTTCTATATTTTATATATGAAGTAGTGGTCAAAATGCAAAGAAAAGGGTTTCAGCAGTTTTTAATTTTTTGCTGACCAGTGGTCAATTTGTTGACCACTGATGTACTACTGTTTTGAAGCACTTTTTTGGGGTATTTAATGAAGTAATTGATTTTACGTATTTCCTGTTTTTTTAATTATTACAAAATTAAACGTTTGTATGCAGTAGACTGTCCATGGGCATTGTTGTCAGCAGGCGACATAGTCACCACCGCTGACCGATGGGCAGCACAAGCTCACAAAAAACTCTTTCTTAACTGAATTTTTTTATCGGGAAATCCAGATTTTCAATAGGTAACTCACACTCCTTCGGGTACCGCCCGCTGGAGGGTTAACTGCACTCGCTGGTTATTTGGTGGAAAGCGGTTTGCCTGTAGCGCACAGAACTTAACTGTTCCTAGAATGGTATATGTTCCTAGAATTCCTGTTCCTGGAATGTACGTATATGGTAGCTCAAGAGTTACTTCTGCAGATTTTCTAGAAGAGAATGAAATATGCGGAAAGAAAGGCGAAGGTCACTAGATGTGTTCTAGTGACCTTACGCCGAACGTTTTAGTCAAATGTTGTAATTCAGATTTTCCGCTTTCTTCGCACCATGACCGGGTAAACGTTCCACAACAACATGTCCTCGCTTTATCTATGTGCATTTCAAGCTAACTGCCTAGCTGTATTTTTAAAAAAGGCTCTGCAGAGGTAGAGAGTTCGCATAGTCGTCCCAGTAAATTATAAGGACGTCATGAATTCAATGTGGCTCATTTAGGGCGCGGAGAGCGAACAGCTTTTTTTGCCCCCTCACAAGTCAGGCTGGTCGATCACTGCAGCGTTCTGCGGAGACTATAATTAGACCGGAAACAACGGATTTCATTGCAGCCAAAAAGCGAAAGCGGAATACTGGCCTGGTGTATCGATTGATCGAGACGTGTACTGTATGTGTGGGAGTGGGATCAACCCACTCATATTCACTTATACACGTTCTGAGTGTGTCTGGCTGGGCACGTGCTAACTGTAGAAACCGGTTTTCGCTGTTTTCGCTAAACGCATAAACCCTTTCTTGCTCATCATGTAAATTTATTCCTTTGCAGAACTTTCACGGGAAAGAACTGTCTTGGTGAATATGGTCTGTAAGTACACACAGTATACCTCTGATTGGATACGCTAAATTATTTATTGTAGGTAAAAACGAATACAGTTTGTGTTTTAGAGCATCAAGCCACCTGAAAAATCCAAAGCCCGGGTGCACTTTGGATGAAGGCAGCGGTGTTCGTCATGTTACGTGCTTGTGCAATACTGATTTATGCAACAACAGAACACTGGCAGAGCTAGTCGCTGCACGATCCGCTTACAATACTTTCTCTCCATTTTTGGCGCTTTCCGCCGTTGTGATGACCAGCCTTCGTTCGCTGTTTAAAATCCTAAAATCTCAGTGAGAACGCTAGTTGCGGAACGTGCAAAATGAAGATTAAGTTTTGTCAAAGAACAATACGATTAGTAAAACGGTTTGTAAATGTTTGTGTCCCATTCGTGCGTCCGGTGTGTGTATCCGTTAAATGATTTTTTTGCCTACTTTATTGTGTCCTGATATTGCCCGAAACTGCTCTTGTTAAACGGCAATACGAGTAGTTCATGCCCATCGTAATACTTTATCTCGCGGCCCAACGGTCTTATTCCGTAACAGTTTAAGCCCGATTGGGCCTCATCATACCACTGCCCGGTTTCAACACCAACGTACGACAGAATTTCAGCAGTGTCCCTATAGCACACATCCGCTCTGTACGTGGCATCGGCACGGCCACCCATACAGGCATGTGGGCCAGTGTCGCCAGTTCACATCTGAAGACATCCCGGCAGATGTTACTGGCTTGGGGTTTGGTAAAGGTCACCGAGGTGCGCGCTGCCCGCACGTAAAAGGCTTCCCGGATATCTGATGGCTGCTTCTTGTGAATGGTTAAGCTCCGTCTGATGGATACGTTGCGTCAGCGGTTTCCGTTAAACTGCCTGCGTAATTGAATCGCGTCTTCATAACGCCGACAATCTTGGAGATCCTGATCTAAAAAAGGCAACAAAAACTAAGTAGCTTGTTATAATTACAATTCAGTCAGGTTTCGACAACAAGCGCCGCAATACACATTTGGCTGAATGAACGCACAAATACTGAGAATTCAGACTGAAAGGTCATGCAGTTAAATTAAGAGCTGGGATGACCTTTACGTACCGATAAAGACCCGAAATTCGTCGTCTGCTTCAACGAGGCCAAGTTGGTCCGCCTGAGCGCCAGTTCCTTCGGGATAAACCGCGTACCCTTCATCTCGGTGACCTTTCGGCCTTCGTTGATATTGCGCAGATAATCCTCCATCTCGTCGCGCTGCGAGTTAGAACTGCCTTTGTTCGTGCAGGCCGACACTCCACGCCCCCGGCCCCCTCGATTCCAAAATTGGCGTTTCCGCATTTTTTCTCGCTCTCTTGTTTCTTGAAGTAATCCATGATGCGGTGCTGGGTCTCCTGGTCCTGCTTGTCAAACGAATCCTGGTATTCGCGTGTGATTTTATCGGGGCGGGCGTTCTCTTCCTTCCAGTACACCGATTCCCACATCTTTGGCGTGAACCACGCCGACGTGGTCTCTTGCAACTTGAGCGCTTCCCCGATGAAGTGCATGAGCGTCGGCGACTGGTCACCGCCGATGAACTCCGCATCGGCGATTTCCGCCGCCATCACGTTACTGGCGATCTCCTGCTGTAGCTGCTTGGCGTCTTCCCCGCTTAGATACACAACGGTTCCCTGGAATTTCTGCTGCAGTTCCGTGAAGAGCTTCCCGGTCTGCACGTGCTCCGCGGTCAGCGTGATGCGGCGGGCCGATGAGCGCTGCGACTCTGACGTATAATACACTTCCGCGTCGCTTAATAAATTCACTGTCCCGTTAACCAGACCGTCTTTCAGTCGCTGGCATTTCCATCCAGTGGCACAATACACCAGAAAAATCAGGGCATCCGCTTGGTTGGAGTACGGATGCCAAGAATTTTCCACTTCGTAGTCGGGATCCCATTCGGGATTCTCGATGGATAGGCGGATGCTTTCGATGGGCATGATGCGCAGCTTCATCACAGGCTTCTCCGTAAGCTTCGTCAGTTCCTGCTTAATGTGGTCAAGGAACTTTTGGTTGTACATGATCGCGGAGAACTCCACGGTAAGCGCTGCTCGAAATGATTGAACGAGAGATTCGTACTGCGGGCATTAATTAAAAGTAGAGGGGCGTAGTAATAGACGCCAGCTTCCGGAGTGCTGGTGGCAGTGGCGGTTCTTTCTCGTAGATCAGGATTCGGTAATTCAAGTAAGGAACAGAGTATCTGGCGGTCCGCGAGATCTCGCATTTGCTCCAAGTGAGAGCGGTCGGTGGGGCGGGTTCAGGATTCGTCTGCCCTTCACCTAAATCAGCAGAATTCAGCGTCAGAAAATACGCCATAATAATTGTATCAAATTAACCAGCTGCTCGTTGTTGGGCGTCTCTGGCAGTTCCATTGGGCGATCGCGCTGCACCAAGACTGCTGCCTGTAAAATCCCAGTTAATTGTTAAATATTTATAACTTGCTCTCATTGAAATCTCTGCAACATTATGCTGTTTTAGCAACGTTTGAAGAAAGCGCGACAAAATTCGCGCGCGACCTTTATGGTATAGTACTAAGGTGCATCTATCCGTTTTACACGTAGAGGATGAAATTCGCGACAATCACGACTACTCAGTAGTCAGTACGTACCATGAGGAGTACGAGGCAAGCGACAACTCTTTCCCATCGCTTTAGTAAATTTTATCACTTTCCCTGCTGCATCTTACCCGTGTGCAGGCGCTCACGTGATACTTGATTTTAGCCGTTTCACGTCGGTTTGCAGCTATAGTTGATTGTGCAAACTGATAAAGAATATAGAGAAGAGCATGGCAGGCCAGATTTTATCGCCGGCTCAGTAAGCGCTGATTACAATGGATACGATATCAGTATCATGAGAGCGCCTGCACACGGGTAAGATGCAGCAGGGAAAGTGATAAAATTTACTGAAGCGATGGGAAAGAGTTGCCGCTTGCCTCGTACTACGTTCTACCGTTTCTCGAAATAGCACGACGTATATCAGGACGACAATAATCAGCAGCAAAATCGTTAAAACGATCTGTAACACCCGTACATCGGATAAAAATCTCCACAGGCGATGACGAACCATTTTCTTTGGATAAAAGTATGAGATACTACAAGCTACAGAATCGGCAGCATAAATAATGAATGTGTTTTATTGGTGCATAATTAAAGACATAAAAATATGAAGAACAGTCACAATAGTGCAAAAAGAATATTATCAATAACATCATTAATAAGGTATCCTATCATGGGACACAATCGTTTTCTCTCAAGCAACTGGTGCCTTAATAACGTTTCCTAACAACAAAAACTGTACTGCTTTCTTCAGTATAAGAGCTTATGTTATCATATGAAGTATGATTAATTAAACGGCTACATTTACTATTAACGGCTTCCTGGGCATCTCTTTTCTTGGGGCCGCTCGATACCACATGCGCTGTAGCTTGACCAAAAAATATCAATAACCAGCTTAAAACGAGCAGCCATAAAGGAAACCGTCCAGTGCAAGGCCCAGAATATGATGACACCATTGGAGCAGGCCCTGGAAAATGCATGATCTATTGTGTCGCAACTAAAGCCAAGCGCATTACGAAAATTATTACTAGACAATGCTGCCTGCAGTGACCTTGTAAAAAGGTCCTTCTCGCATGCCTCGGTTTTTAATTGATTGACGCTGCTTAAGACAGCCTAAGGCACAAAAGATGGCTGGCACTTTTTATAGCCACTGCCGCCTTCTACACCCCGTGACGAAGATTTAACAGAATCAGAAAAGGGGCAAGCGGGGTGGAAGTCGGAGTTTATTACTCGCAAGCCCGGAATCACGTAGATATTGGACAGTGGAACACCGAAAGCCGTGCTATGATTTCATACTGGTGTAATTAGGATTTCGTTTTGCCTACGCGACGCGCCGCACGGCTGCCGTCCCATAGTTAAACCTGTTTACTCTGAAGCAGCGGCGCAAGCGAGCAGGTTAATAAAAAAGTCCAATTGGCAATTGGATGGGAGCTCGGTAATCTATATGCTTTCATCAGCAAGCAAGATGACAATCCTCACCCGGTATTCTGCCGTGCAAATTTCAAAATAATACTGAATTTGTCATACTGACCGGAGTTGTCGGCCGCTGCGCAAGGGAGCGGATTATTGGTTGTGTTATTGCCCTGGGTTTGGTTGTTCGTTTGATTATTGGTTTGGGAACTGCTAACGGTTGATGCGTCTGCAACAATCAAATCGTCGTCAGTGTGTACCGTGGCCGGTCAGACCACTAGCCCGATTAGGGGGAAAACGTGTACTTTTTGGAAAGGCATTGCAAAGATCCTTGGAACAACGGCATTCTGTACCAACACCACAGTTTCGAACTTCCCAGGGTTCGCACCACCTGTGATAATTGTTATACTGCTGGTCCCCACATGCCTGTTGATCAATCTGATACTGGTCCGCTGTAAGATCAAAGTATGCTTAATAAATACTGGTGTGGTCGTTTTTCAGTACGAGAAGGCACTAACAGTGCACCTCGTCCGAAATCTGTTGTGTTACGTTTAAATTTTGTTGAAGTTGAATCGCATCGAAAATACTGCCAAATCCAACTTACTGTTTGTAAAGAACACCGTTGTTTTTTTTAACAATTTGTTACTCCTGCTTCACATTCCTTGCTGTTGCTCTTCAGACAATCCGTCGTGATGTGTTGCAAGACAGGAGGAACGTCTCCGTTTGCATAACCGCATTCGTAGCATTTAATCGCTTTAACTAGACAGCAAAAGAAACATGAAAAAAAAACATACACGATTGTCAGATATGACACGGAAGCAGAGCGAGAAAATGGGGCAAATAGCCTTTATTGTGAAACAATAAAGCAACCACAAACAAACACAGAAAACCAGTGCGGTATCACTGTGGAAAGTAGCTGCCAGCGAGCTCGTAAGAATCGTGATAATGATTCAGCGTGCTGCAGGTATGCAACAGCTGATGCCGTAAAGCATGGGATCGCTCGTAAGCGCTGGGCTACGCCCCCAAGAGTGCAGAAATGCGCTGATTGGTCAGCGTAGACAAAGTATACGCTGAGTGAGCAGCGTAATAGCGCGGCACGAATGGCGTTGCCATGTGCGGGCGGGCGACAGAGCAAAGCCACAAGAGGTGTCTACCGCCTCGAGTGTGCGGTCTCTGACATGCCTCTGGGCGGGAGTGGGAGGTCCTGCAAGCACCTTCCGATTCTGCCCCTGGCTAACCCGGTAGGGTGCCAGGATCCGATACCCGGTAGGGCCGGATGCCACTTTGTCTCTAAACCCGGTAGGGTCGCTTCCTCCCAGACCCGCGGTGCAGTGCACCGAACGGCCGAAATCTGGAGTGCACTCTGGTTGCAGGGGGTTCCAGTGTGGTTTGAAGGCTTGGTTGGTCGAACAAGTACAAAAATAAAGTTTATAAGGCTCATTGGTTAAACATCGAAATAAAAGATCACAATTCCGGTGAGAATTAAAGAAAGTAAGATCATAGTTAGATATCCCAAAGCCAATTCCTTTGGTTAAATGGCTAAGTAAAAACATCAATTCTTTGGTTAATAAAGTCTAGAAAAACCAGGTATGGTTAAAAAACTAGACGCAAAATGGCTTATTCCGACTAGGTTTACCACAGGGCCAATCTTGTCCACACGGGTCCTAGTCAACGGTCCGCTTTATCCGATAGGATCAGCCTGGTCCTGTAGATCCGGGGCGACGGTTCCCAGAGATGTCCGCAGGGGTCCAGTTAAGTAAATCCAGCAGTGCGGTATATGGAAAGCACTGTTGCTTTCGCAAGGACAGGTTGTCCCCTTCCTGATTAAAGTATGGTGGACCAAGCCCGGTTGGGCGGTCCATGAGGGCCAATAAGTAAGGCCTCTGGGCAGGAGTGGTGCTCCAATGACCCAAATGGTATGCTGGACCAATTCCGTTTGGATGGCCCACATGGATCTCTAACTTGGACCGGTTTGGTCGTGCATGCCGGTTTGGTCATGCACCTCGGGACCAAAAAATTTCAAAGTTCGAGTGCACCCCGGTTGGGACATGCATCTCGGGCCAAAATCTTCTAAGTCCAGGAGGGCCACAATGGAGAAATTTCTAAGTCCCTGGACCGAAGTGGTGTGATCGACCAAACCCGTTGGGGCGGTCCAAACTCGGTCTCTGACATGCCTTGGGGGAAATCCTAGGTTCCATGGTGATGGGACTTGTCTCTGGCTAGTGCGGGACGTAGGAGTCCTGTATAACCGGCTTTGGCGCTCCGATGTGGACTTAGTCGTTTTTTGCTGAGCCACGTCGTTGGACGTGCCAAAAAACTTAGTCATTTTTCGATGGGCCAAGTCGTTGGACGGGCCAAAAGACTTAGTCATTTTTCGATGGGCAAGGTCATTGGACGGGCCAAAAAACTTAGTCGATTTTTCGACGGTCCAAGGTTGATGGCGGGCCAAATGGACTTAGCCGCTTTTTCGACGGTCCAAGGTTGATGGCGGGCCAAAGTTGCAGACTCGTTGAGTCTGGTCAGTCTCACTAGCCGTGGGCCATGAGTTTCCCTGAGACCGTGGCCATAACAAAATTAGTGACTTCTGACGAAAACATCAGATTGGCCTGGCCAAACTCCAAAAATTAAGTTGTGGGCGCCGGTAGGCGTTTACCACAAAGGAGTCGGTCTGCTGACTAGGAGCATCCTCGTTTGGCCTTTGGGCGGTGCGTCTTTTTGATGAGCCTCTGGGCGGTCCATGGTGAGGATGTTGAAAGTAGCATGCAAAGTGGGTGTACCACAACTTCAATGTGGTTCCCACACTCACTTGTCCCAGTTGCCTGGTGTGGCGACTAAACTCGTGAGCCGCATATGGTCCGTTAGGCACCTAGCGGGCCTGGTCCAATTTCTATGGGCCAGGGCTTGTCCACGGCTTGTCGGAACTTCTATGCGGGCCGTCGCCACGTTCTGGGCGCTGAATCTCTTCCGTGCCGGTGAACAAGGCTTTGTGCCAAGCTCGGTCCGGGGGACTCCTGGGACTGGGATGGCCGAACCAAATTCATGGTCCCAGCCGCTAAGCCAGAGCCTATCCGGGGAATCCGGTTAAGATCCAGGGATTTAGGTCCGGTGAGGTAGACGATACATGGCCGTAAGCCACGTTTGTTGGGCGAGGGTAACAACCGTTGGATTGTACCCATTGCTGTGTTCAAGTCTGGTTTAGCCGATGTCGGTCCATTTCTAGGGCCGACATGCAGGAATGGCCGTTGGCCTATTCCTGTCCTCTTGTCCGGCTTGGTCGCCCGCCGTCGCCCAACCCTGGGTTGAGTGGGTCAACGACGCTTTCCTCCATGGCCGCCAATTCCTGTTCAGTCAGGTTGTCCTGTGGTTGGCTGGAGGCACTGGTCGGCTGAACTTCTTGGCCAGGGTGCCCGGCCTGAGTCTGGACGTGTGCGGACGATCCTGTTGAAGATCGCTGAGTGCGAAACTTCGTTGGAAGTTTCCGCGCTGCCGTTCGGTTAACGAACGCTTCCGCACCGTCGTCGAAGTCCGTTGGATGTCGATAACGGTAGTCTTTAGCGCTGCTCCTGAAAACATTCAGGGCGCTCTGGATTTTGACTCCCGCTTCGATTTCGTGGATCTGGTTCCCAAGGAGGGCCACCTGAGTCAGTAATCGAGGAATGATCTTCCCCTGCCGGTAGGCAACTTCAAGTTCCCAGTGGCTCCGTAGGTGTCCCAGTCTGGCGGCAAAGATGCGTATCATCGTGCCGTTGTACGAGTAAGTGTACGTCCCTGGGGCCTCCTTGTGATCGGCCGGCTTGCATGGGATTTCCATGGCGGCTCGTGAAGCTGCGATTATGAAGCTGGCGTTCGCGTCCGGTAGGACGAACTGGGCCAGGTATTTGACGACGTCAAGTTGGTCGTCCTTAATGTGCAGTTGGCACAAGTCATTCCAGTCCGGTCTGGTGATAGGCTGTCCAAGTAAGTTTACGTCCGTGATGCTCGATAGAGCATTGTCACGAACCATTGGATAGCCCTCGCGGTTGTCAATGTGTTCCGCCATACTGAAAGCACGGGGCCACTCCTTTTTCTGCATTTCCATTTCAAGGCCGGACCGGATGACGAAAGTTTGAAGATTCTGGACCATGGCATTGACTTGAGCCCATTTGTCCCTGGGGTATGAGATGGCGCCCATGATGTAATCCGTCACCACCAGGTGGGGGAGTGGACGGATATTGATGCCTTGGTCCTCGGCATATTTATAGGGATCAAAGTCCGTGGCACTGACG